GCAGAAGCAGCTCAGCACCCAGGGCAACAGGAGTGGGTGGGGCCCGGGGGGGTGTCCCTGCTGCTCCTGCCTCTTGGATGGTGAAGCCCAGGGGTCTCACGTCAGAGAGGTGGCCCGGCCCCCTTCTGCCCCCCTGGGCCAGACAACAGACAGCTGCTGCCCCAAACGTGGCAGTGGAAAGGAGACACAGGCCTCTGCCAGGGGCTGGCGTCCCTCGAGCTGCCTCAGGCTGATGCCCCGTGACCTGTGGTTGCTGCTGGGACCTCTGGTGGCCATAGTCCTGGGTCCCAGTAAGACTCAGGTAAAATAACTCCAGGTGCAAGGCCTCTGGGGGCGGGGCTGGGAGGGAGGAAGCAGCTTCCTGCCTGTGCCCACCACCCCTGCCCCATCAGACCCCTACTCGTTCTTGCAGGGAGGTCAGACACCTGTCTGCTGAGCCCTGACCGAGCCTCTGTGTCCACACGGGGAGGAGCTAAAGCCTTTGTGCCCTTGTGAAGAGAGGAGGGGGCTGAAGGGGGAGGGAAAGGAGGAGGATAACAGGCAGGGGGGGGAGCAGGGGGAGGACCCAGCTGAGGCCCAGCAGCACCTCTGATGGGGATGCCCACCCCGTGAGCCACACCGGGACACCCAGGCCAGCCTGAGGACAGCCCCTGCCTGAGGAGGTCCCCAGGAAGGCGTTCAGAGCTTTCTGCGTCAGGCTTCCCTCACAGCAGGTGGTCGGAAATGGCTCACACAGAAATGGGGGTGATGCAGTGGGGGCCTAGAAGGCCAGGCTCTGGTCGGCAGATCTGCCATAAGCAGGCAAGAGGCCACTGGAGTGAGGAGCTGGCCTGAGTGGGACAACAAGTGGCACTGGCCCACCCTCTCCACCCAGAGGGGGAGGGGAGGGGAGGAGAGGAGGGGAGCGGAGGGGGAGGGGAGGGGCAGTCTTCCAGCTGCACGTGGTGCCAACAGCTTGGAGAGGCCCGAGTCTCTGTGTCAGTGTCCTGTGGCTACTGCACAAATGACCCACCTGGGGGCTTCAAACAACGGGATCCACTCTCTCACAGTCTGGAGGCCAGGAGTCCACACTCAAGGTGTCGTAGGGCCCCGCGTCCTCTGGAGGTGCTGGGGAGACTCCTTCCTGCCTCTTCTGGCCTCCTGGGGTTCCAGGTGCTCCAGGGCTCGTGGCCACATCCCTCCAATCGCTGCCTCTGCCGTCACGTGGCTTGTCCTGTGTGGCTGTGTCCAAACACCCCTCTTCTTGTGAGGACACCGGTGATGCTGGATTCAGGGCCCACCCTGACCTAGTACGGCATCATCTTAACTTGATTCTAGCTGCAAAGACCCTATTTCCAAACAACGTCACACTCACAGGTTCCCAGGGGACACTGTTCAGCCGCCCAGTATCCTCAAAGCTTGGTCCCTGCTGGACTTCCGTTCCCCACAGGAGAGCTGAGATGGCACCCCCTCGCCGGCCCCACTCATCCTCGGATTCCGGCACCCCCGAGGCTCCGGGGACACCGTGGGGGCAGAGTGCAGGCTCGCCTACCCAGGAAGGCACACAGTACCCTAGCCCTACAAGTCCCACTGAGGGGGCGGGGATGGCAGGGAAACCCAGGCAGGCGACAGGGGCAGGGAGAGTCCAGAGGGCTTCTAGGGGACCCCAGAGGAGAGCCCAAGGGTTGGCAGGAGTGGAGACATGGGGACAGAGGCAGAGCCGGTGTGGCTGCACTCAGGGCAGCAGCAGAGGAGGGGGTTGGAGGTGGGAACAGTGGGGACCTCAAGGGAGTGACAAGGTTCGCTATGCATGCTGGGAGAGGGTGGCTGTCCAGGGGAGAGGTGGTGGCCAGGATGGGTGCTTGGCCACAGGCTGCTGTCTTTGCCACGCCAGGTCACCCCGGCTCTGTTCTCTGTGGAAGGGTCCCCGGCTGCCCCGTGGCTTTCAGGCTCTTAAAGTGGAGGCTGGAGACCGAGCTGGCCCTTGGCTTTAGCCCGCTGACCGTGGCAGGTCCCAACCATGGACGCCCACCCCTCTGCAGCCGTGACGAGGGTCCCTGAGGAGGCCAAGGGTGCCCTAACTCCCACACCGGTGAGTGGGCCCTGCGCGCGCTCTGCTGCCCGACGGATCCTGCGATGTTTCCCAGGCAGCTGTTTCAATCCAGCCTGTCTGTCTGGCGCTTTGCGTGCCCACGAAGGCACTGCCCGGCTCCAGGCAGGCTTGCCCTCTTGGCACCCACAGGCCAGCAGGTGTGGCCGCGTCAGAAGGCCGGGCTTCAGGGAGGGGGCGGCCCAGCCCTTGAGGCCATCCTGGCTGGCATGGGCACCGACAGGGCACCCACACGGAGCACGTGCCCCCGGTGCACTGTTCCACTTGGAAATTGGAGGCTGCGGTGCTCTCTGGGGCTGGTCGTGCCCGCCGGTCTCAGGCCCTGCCCTGCCCGCCTGTGCCGTCTTGGCTGCCCCGATGGCAGAGCTGGCCCCAAAGGAGGGTGTGGGGAAGCCAAATGGGGCTCGGACCCGGCCAGCCGGCCCTGGGCCGGGGTCCAGCTGATAGGTCTTGCCCGGCCGGCCCACCGTGGAGTAGAGGCATCGGCACCAGTCGGTCAGCGGCAAACTCCGCTCTGTTGGGGGGGAGGACAGAGCACAGTCACCCTGGCTCTAAGGACACCAGGAGCCCAGAGGTATCAGAAGGTGCTGGGGAGGGCTGGGCCCCCGACCAGCTGGCCACAGATGTTACCCTGATTCTGGGAGGGGAGGGCGTACCTGGCTCGCCATCGTGGACAAAGCCAGAGAGCGCGGGGGGAGGTGGCCTCACAGCTGGTGGGGCCGCCACCCCTGCCCACTGGTGCCCTTTCTGCTTCGCTGGAGGGCTGCCTTCTCCAGAACGTGAAATATTCTCTGTAAACATGAACTTGGCTTGTAAACATCTTGTCCCGCGGTGCCAGCCTCAGTCCCGATCAGAAATGCCTCTCCAGCCAAGCCCGCGGCCTGTCACTGCAGCAGGTGGCTCAGAAAACGGGAGCCTTTTAATCAAGTTCAACTTTTAAACTTCCTCCAGCCCCCCCTCCCCCTCACCGCCACCGCGTCTTGCTGATAACGCCAGGACAGCTGGGACAAGGTGGGTTCCCGTCCACCTCCAGAAGGTCCTCGTGCGGGCTGGGCAGGCGGCGGGCAGCTGTCGGGAAAGCAGCAGGCAAGGGGACGGGGCTCCTGCCGGGTGCCGGCACCTGCCACGAGCAGGCATACGGGTCACCCCGACTCTGTTCTCGGTGGAAGTGTCCCCGGCTGTAGGTCTCAGTGGCGATGGGGGAGTTAATCCCCAGCAGCCGGATGAAACCAGAGAGGAGAAGCCCCCAGGAGACAGCTTTGACATGTCGCTCTGGCTCTGCCATCCCCAGAGCAGGGATCCCGAGGGCCTCTGTTCTGCCTGGCCTGGGGTCTAGATCCCATGCACCCCCCAGCAGCCCAGGGTAAATGAGGCCCGTTGGCGTGGTTAAGGCCAAAGGAGCATGAGTGCCTCCCACCCGCTGTGCTGAAGGCCAGAGCCAGGCTCAGCCAGGCCCTGACAGCCACCGGGGCCTGCACCTCCTCGGGGCACCTGGGTCCACCTGAGACCCTCCCTGCTCCTGCCTCAAGCTATGTGTCTTGGGCTGGGGAGTCGGCTGTGTGAGGTCTGTACAGGCAGAGGCCAGGATGCTGAAGACCCCAGGGCTCAGTTCCCAGAGCCCTGCGGGGGAGGAGCAGCTGCTCACACAGATGTCCCCATGTGGCTTCCCAGAACAGCCCGAGAGTGGGGCACGCCGGCCGTCGAGGCCTGCTGGGGCCCCGTCTGCCTGGCGTTCCTCCTGGAAGTCCCCACGGCTGGCGCTCAGAGGCGCGGTGACACTTCCAGGAGAGGCTCTGAAGCAGCGGAGGCTGAAGCCAGAGCCAGTGGTGCCGTGTCTGGGAACCCCCCCACCACCCAGCTCGTCCTGCACACCTCAGTCCCATCCTGGGGCCCCCAGGGCACAAACTCTGCACCGGCAGGAGTGGCCGAGGGTGCCTGGGCGTCTGCTGCCACCACGTGGCGGATTGCAAGGTCACTGGACGAGAGTGCCTGACGCCCGGGGTGTCACAGAAGCCCCCTCAAAGGCCCTCCACCTCCAGGCCCCCGCCCCTGGCCCAGGACTCCGGGCGCTGCACTTGGTCGTCTCACATTGCTTTTTATTTATTTACTTATTTGGCTGCACCGGCTCTTAGTTGCGGCACGCGGGCTCTAGGTCCCTGACCAGGGATCGAACCCAGGCCCCACCCCCAGGCCCCACCCCCCGCACCCCCCCACCCCGCATTGGGAGCGCGGAGTCTTAACCGTTGGACCACCAGGGAAGTCCCTCTATTTCTTAATTAAGGGAACTAAGCTCCTCCCTTTTGTAAGGAAACGGGGAAGGATCGCCCGGGTCGTCAGAGCTGGACGCCCAGGCTCAGGGCTGCCGATGCAAAGGGAGGTGGCAGAGCTAGATCAGGCCTGGAAGCGGCGGGTGGGGACGCCAGGACCCCCAGCTGTCTTCCCGCGCAGTTCCTCCTCCTAGAAGCCGCTGCAGACCCCAGGCCTGAGGGGTGAGGGCGGCATCCCCCGGCTCAGCTGGAAAATGACTCCCTCAGGGCAAGGCAGCCTCCCGACCTCAGTGCCGCCTCCGCGGTGGACGGAGGAACCCTGGCCTCCGTCTCCCCAAAGGTTGGGGTCAGGATACCACCCTCCGATAGTGCCACAAAGGGGAGGTCACCTCATGGCCTGCGGAGCAGGTCGTGGGGTCCCCAGGGTCGGGTCAAGCGCCCAGGTGGGGGTGGGAGTTGGGGTCCACAGCTCACGTCTGGCCGTGCGGGATTGACTACGGGGTCCTGGGTCGGGTTCTGCCCCGGCGCGCCGGGAGTGCCCGGGGCGGGGTCTGTGCCGGGGGCGGGGTCTGTGCCGGGGGCGGGGCCTGTGCCGGGGGCGGGGTCCGGCGCGCGGGCCGCTCATTTCCGCCGGACGCGCTGGCTCCGGGAGGATGGAGGCGGCGAAGAGGTCGAGGTTGAGACTGAGCCGCCGGAGGCCACCCTCGGGGGTCCGGTGAGGCCGGGGCTGGGGGCAGCAGGGAGAATGGGGAGGCTAGTGTCCCCGGCCGAGCAGTGGCCGGGTGTCACGTCCCCACGTGCTTACCCGAGCCCGCCTCGGACCTGCCCCGCACCCCCAGCTCTTCCCACCCAACCCCCACCCGCGGAATTCTCACCTCCCCACGCCGAGCTGCACACCTGTCCCCCCCCGCTGAGTCCTCCCTCCTGTGCCCTCCCCGCCAGCTGAGTTCTCACCGCCCCGTCGCCCCAGGTCCCCGAGCAACCCCCCCGGTTCCCCTCCGGACGGCGGCGAGTGTGCGCGGCCGTGGGCTGAGCTGCTGCGCGCCGCGTGTGCGGAGCTGAACGTGGACGGCGAGCCGCCGCCGCTGCCCGCGTTCCCCGGCCAGGTGCGTGTGCAGTGGTCCCCGCGTGGCCCCGGGTCTCGGGCTGGGGCGGGGCGGGGCGGGGCGGGCGCGGTCCGACGACCCCGTCTTGTAGGAGCCCAGGCGCAGCCCTGAGCGCGCGCCCCCGGAAAGCTTCACCGTGGGAACCGAGACCTTCTCCTGGACGCCCTTCCCGCCGGCCCCGCGGCGAGGCGGGGACCCGAGCGACTCCGACCGGGTGCTCCGCGAGGCCCTGGGGCGCACGGGGTCCTCCGCCTGGTCCCCCCAACGACACCCCGCGCCCGAGCCCCGCGGGACCTCCAGCGCCGAGGAGCAGCCGTCCGTAGAGGGGTTGCCGACACTGCAGAGTTGCCCCATGTGCCAGGCCGTCTTCGCCCCCAGGTGAGTGGCTCCCCTGGGCCTTCCCTCCCCTCTGCTGCCACCCGGTGGCTCTTTCTCTGTTTGGAAACCACAGGCAGTTTCAGAAGGCTAGGGTAGCTGAGCGCGACTTTGGCATTCTAAAGTGATATTTCACGCAGAAAAAGTTGGTAAAGCACAGAGACGGTGCTGATCAGCCAGAGAGCACAGGGGTGCAGGTCTGGGGGTCTACTTCCTGGTCCACCGGCCTGGGGCCCTGCTGACAGGCTGCAGTCTCCTGGACGGGGCTCCTGGGACTCTGCAGCATGAGGGCAGGGAGGCTCTGGCTCCAACCGGGTCCTCCCTGACATCCGGGAACCGGGAGGTGACTGGCATCCCCGGGTGGACTGCCTCCAGAGCCAGTCCAGGCTGTGGGTCACTGAGCAGTTTTCTGTTACAGCCCCTCGGGCACCTTCCTCCGTGGGTGCATTGCGAGTTTTAAAAACAAGACTTCATTTCTGTGTCTAGAGATACTTATCTCTTTTTAAAAGTCTAACGTATATTTTTATACCTTTTTAAAAGTAAGGGTGGTGGAATTGGACTTCGTTAAGAAGTCCCAACTGCCCAGCTTGCGGGCCACATGTCACAAAGCCGAGGACACAGGTGTGTGTGGGGGGTCATGGGGGTCAGGATGGCGGGAAGGAGGTTGGTCGGATGAAGGGGGTGGACGGCCAGTTGCGGTAGCTGGACGTGCTCTGCGTGTCCTGCGGCCTGGAGAGTGGGTTCAGTTACGTGCCTTGTCTTTGGTTTTCCAGAAGTAAAACCAGTGCTGGCGGGTGAAGGGAGCGGTTTATAGAACTAGCAGCCGGTGACAGACAAAGTCATCAAACCAGTGAGCAAAATGCGTGGCATGAAACTGCACAGGTCTGCAGCCAAATATCCAGGCTCCTCCAGTGGCGACCCTTCACTGGGGCCTGGGCGGCTCGGGGTGGGGAGAGTGAGGAGGAGGGCTGGGGGGGGGGCTGTCCGCGGGGGGGCCTGTGGGCGGGGCCCCCCCGCCGGGACAGGGCTGGGGGGGGGGGGGGGGGGGGGCGCGGGTGCAGCAGGTGTGGCAGCCGCGCTGAGATGCCCGTGCTCCTCGTAGCGCTGGAAAATTTTTCCTAGACCCAGAGTCTCACCGAACATGTCTCTTGCCTGTACTGATGCTTCAGGACAGTTGTGGGCTGCAAACACCAGCTCCCTCACCAGTTTTTTTTTTTTTTTAAACATTTATTTATTTATTTTTGGCAGCATCGGGTCTTAGTTGCAGCACATGGGATTTTTTGTTGCAGCGTGCGGGCTTAGTTGCCCTGCAGCATGTGGGATCGTAGTTCCCCGACCAGGGCTTGAACCCGTGTCCCCAGCATTGGAAGGAGAATTCTTAACCACTGCGCCACCAGGGAGGTCGTCCCCCCCCCCCCCCCCCTGCCTACGAGTCTTGATGAAGCCATGAACGCTTTTTAAAATATGAAGTCCTCTTGATTCGTACCCGTGGAAAGAACGTCTTCTTGGCAGCAGACGTGCAGCCCAGCCCCTCCGTCCCGGTCTAGGGGTGGCTTTTGTTCTTGGATTACTTGTTTTTCTACACAGTCTAAAAAAGGACTCCTAGATATGTTAGAAAGAAAGTTCTAGTCTGAGCTCTTTAAGCAGTTAGATTGAGGCTGGGCAGAATGCCTCGGGTTTGCAGAGTACGTGTCAGTGCGGTTGGGTCCAGGCCTCCGCGTGTCTGGAATGCTTCTAGCAGGTTCTTCCCTTTGATTAAGAAGGAGAGAGCAGGCCCTTGCCGGGCCACACCCCGAGCCTGCAGGGTGACAGTGGAAAGCCCCCCGCCCCCCGCGCCCCTCCACCCCTGGGGCAAGGGGACAGGTCAGGCCATTAGGGGACAGAAATGGGACTGTCCCACGCTTGCTTTCAGTGATTCTGGGGACTGTTTTTGGGCAGAGATGGAAGCCCTGCCGCCCCTTGGAGCAGAGGGATGGCCTGCTGGGCCGCGGGAGGTGCGGGCGGCCTGGGCGCCGCGGGCAGTGAGACGGTGCTTGTCTTTCTCGGAGCCTCGCGCTTTCCGGGTCACTCAGAACCGTTTGTTCTCTGAGATTTTTCTCTGACCTGAGGGCTGTCATGTACCGCGTGTGTGTGAAAGCCCCTCTGGGTCCGTGAGCTCGGGGCTGGTTCCGGAGATTGGCTCCCACTTGCCACCTGACGTGAGGACGGGAAACCAGACAGGCACCGTGTCCGCGTGATGAGACCCACGCCAGCCCGTGGGGTCTCACGCGCTCCGAGGCCCCTGGAGGGTCGGAGCAGAGCCCCCTCCTGTGCTGGGCCTCCCATCCACGCACCGGGCACGAGTGGGAGACAGAGGCAGAAGCTCAGTGTGCAAGGTGGACCCGCCACGAGGCTCCTGTTGGGTGGGGTGTGTGAGGGAATCCCAGACTGTGTCCCCACCGAGGGACAGTGCCGGGCAGCCCCCGGACGAGGTGACCCGGTCCAGATCTTAGGGTCTTCTGGTGGCCTCGGAGAAGGCACGTGGAGGGGCTGCTTCCCAGGACGGGCCGAGGGGCCTCTAGGGACTCGAGGAGGCACTGACCGGGGGCCTCAAATCCCCAGGAGGAAGCAGAAGGCCACCCGGACTGGCAGGGGCTCCCGCGAGCAGCAGAGGCCGCCGTGGGCGTGCATCAGGGGAGAGGCCGTGGCCCTCGGGCTCGCTGAGCCACGCGGTGAAAGGAGGTCATTTCAGGCTCGGCGCCGGGACGTAGTGGTGCAGGGAAGGGCCTGTCTACTCTGGCCAGGTGACCAGCTTGGTCTGCCGAACGCCTGGCTCTGCCGCCCTCTGGGCACCGTGGCTGCAAGCTGACCGTACACGGGCCACCAGCACATGGGGGACAGTCATTCCCGGCCTCTCCTCCTTGATGGCATCAGACGAGGTCAGGGATGGGAGGCGCCCGCTGTGACCGGCGTCCACTCTCCCCTCCCCCACCCAATACCGAGGGGCTGACCCGTGGGCCTTGGAGCCCCACTAAGTCCTCTTCCCCAGAGGGGCCGAGTCCCTGAGTGAAGAAGACAAATTCTCAGGTCTGAGGCGCACACCCACCTTCGTAGTGACCGCCCTCCTAGTCACCAGCGCTCACGCCTTTTCTTTTTTGGTTGCCAAGCAGGTAGTTTTCGAAGGAAAGCTTCGGAGGGAAGGAGGGAAGGGGGACGCATGGGGCATTTGTTGGTGTGGACACACCTGGTGGGCTTGTCTGACTAATGAGACAGAGCCCCCGCCATGCGGGGTGGGGACCCTGCCCTCCTCCACCTGGGGGGGCCCCGTGTCTTGCCCACGCCCTTTACTCGGGACTTTCCGACATAGGGTTCCCCTCAGTCTCAGACGCAGGTGCCAGGTGAGCCTGGGAACGGGCATCCAACAAGCCTTCTGGGCGCCCTGGGGACCTTGGACCCAGGAGCAGGGTTTGGAAAGGCCCTTTGTGGTTGGGGGGGCCCCCTCCTTTGTTCTGCCAGCTGAGGGCACAGTCCCCGGTTTCTCTCCAGCTACTCTTTGGTGCGTGGTGAGCACCCAGGAAGGGCGTGAAAGCGGGTGTTGCGTGCTCTGGCCGGGCGCCCTCCCTGCCCGTGACCCTCTCCTCTCCTCGCAGGCTGACCCAGCTGGACATTGAGAGCCACCTGGCCCAGTGCCTGGCGGAGAGCACGGACGACGTGGTGTGGTAAGCAGCCCGGCCCGCGGCTCCCCCTCCACCGGCTGGGCCACCACCCCTCCCCTCTGCATCCCCCAGAGCTGTGTATTAAAGCGCGTCAGCGTGAGGTGTTCACGTCCCACCTCTGTGTTGAGGCCAAAACATTGGGTCCTTTTTCCTTTCTGGGTGATGCTGAGCAGCGTCATGACTGAAGTGGACAGAGCAGCCCAGGCAGGTGACAGAGACAGTGTCACCAGCAGTTCGGGTATTTGTACCCAAGTTGGCACAAGAACGGACGCTTTGCTCACCCCTCCGACTCGGCTCACATTTCACAACCGTGTTTTAAAACCCCAGGTGAACCTGCTCCTTCTGCAGCTGTAGGTCACTGCCAGCAAGGAAGACACTGTCACCGGTGCCTGTCATCACCCGCAGGGGTTCAGAGCAGCTCCCCTCAAGTCGGGAATTCACGGGGAGGGACAGGCCCGCCTGCCGGCATCTTGCGTGAGCTGTGTCTCGTTCGTGCTCTCAGTGCCCATGGGAAGCAGGGCCAGGGAGCGTGTGCAGGTAGTTTTCCTTCCGGTGCTGTTGGCCCACAGGTTCTGGAAGAGCCTCGTCTCCAGCACAGCCACAGTGGCTGCAGCACCGGCGGGAGAGAGGGGGTAGGATGTGGAAGCCTAAGGTTAACCCCCAGAAGTTGGTATTTTCCTTTCAAAAAGGGCTTCAGACGAGCCATGAAAAGACACAGAGGAAGCCTCAGTGCACATTTCTCGGTGAAAGACGCCAATGTGAAAAGGCTACACGTTGTGTGATTCCAACTCTAGGACATTGTGGGACAGGCAAAAGCCGTGGAGACGGTAAGGAGATCAGTGGTCTCCAGGGGTTAGCGGGGAGAGGGCACAGACACCAGAGCACAGAGGAGTTTTAGGGCAGGAAAATACTCTGAACTACAAGGGTGGTTATGCAATACGTGGATCAAGCCTGGGTCCAAACCCACAGAATGTACCGCTCCCAGGTGACGCAGCAGAGCAGGTTCTTCCCTTGTAGCAAACGCACCCTCTACGGGGATGCTGGGAGATGGAGGCGGCAGCGGGGGGGGGCACATGGGAACTCTGTACCTTACCCTCACTTTTGCTGCGAACCTAAAACTGCTCTGAAAAATAAAATCTGTTTTTTAAAAATGGCTTCAGAAGCCTTTGCTCCTTGGAGACGCCTACTTCTAATGAAAATGACAACAGCACGCAGTCATTAACGTCTTTAATGTGCAAGACACGAGCGGGTGTGGCCTTGGTGGGCACCCCCTCTGCAGGAGGAAGGCCATGGCCACGCGCTCCGCCATTCACTGTACAAAACCACAGGGACGCGTTGACCTCTTTACAGTTCTGACGGCACCAGGTTCCAAGAACCGTATCAAAAGGACACCGTATTGACTGGAGCCGCTGGAAAACGTTAATGATTTGTTTCCAAACCCCACCTCAGCACACCCTTCACCTTCTTTAATTTATAAAAACAAGTGACTGTGCACAAAATCTCCCCTCACCAGGAGCACAGGTCACGCACATGTCTTGTACACGAGCAACCGCACTGGTGACCGGGAAGCTGTTTGGCAACACCGCAACCTTGATATAAATGCCTTAAGTTTGAACAGATCCGTGGCCCCTGTGCTGTCTGAGCAAAGATGTCACCATACCCGATGCAGCACGCGACCCCTGTTGGGAGGAAGGGGGCTCCTGAGGCCGTCCGTGACCCTGTCCTGGGCAAGTGGGGTCTCCCCCGCCCAGGCGACCTCGCAGCCCTCACGCGTGGCTCCAGGACGACATCACCGCGGGGCTGCCACGCCCCTCAGGCCCAGGCAGCTCTGACTCTGGTCCGTGGTCCCTCATTTCCGTCTCTGGAGGTGGGTCCTTCTGGTCACAACTGGGGTGCTGGTTGGGACAAGCCTATACACGTTCCGTGGACACAGCTCTGCCACCGGGGCCACGGGCCTGGGGAGGCTGGCATGTCTGCGGAGGGTCACGGTGAGGCAGTGGCTTCTCTGTTATCCTTTAATTACTGTGATCCGCCCGAGGCCGCAGACACATGGAGAGAAGCAAGGCCTAGGGGTGTGTGGCGATGTGGGACATCCGGGGACTGCTGTCCCCGAGGGTGGGCAAGGCCCCTGCCACCCCCCCCTCCACCCCCACCCCCCACACACACACTCTGCCTGTCCCTGAGCCACACCTGACATGTCAGGGACTTGCAAGCCCACGATTTACCTCGTTCTAGAAAACCTTGGGTTTGGCTTTTCACTTAAGAGGGTGGCCGAGTGACACGTGCCCCCTTTGCAGATTATGGGAAGTAGGGGGTGAGCCGTGCCCAGAGATGCATGTGTGAGGGTATTCTAGATTTATTGTTTCACTTTAAGGCTAGGACCCATCATACATATATCTTTTTAAAATTTCTAATTCTGAGCATCATTATTTCTGATAAAAATATTTTCCAACAATCTGATACGTAACACGAGACACCACACAGGCACTGCTTAGCGTTTCCAGAAATATATTTTGTGCGGATTTAGTTTTCAAATTGTTTTTTGGTCTACGGGTGCTTTGGTGAGCCGTGTTTTAGAACCTCTATGATCCAATTTTCCTGGTCAGTCTAATGCCTGGGTCGGGACCAGTGGTGCCCACCTGGTGAAGGGGGGACCTGGGCGTCAGACCACAGGGGCTACTGACATGCTCGGTATGAAAATACTTGTTAAATATTAACAACAGGAACTTACCAGGATTTAGAAAATGTTCCGAATTTGTAAAAATGCTCCATTGCAGTGGATCCCCGCAGGCACTTACGCTCCCGTCCCCGGCCCGCGCCTCCTCCGGGTGGGGCCGTGCCTGCGACGCTGGGCGGGTGCCACCCGCGAAAAAAAGGCATCAGAGGGAAGCTTCAACATCATCGGGACACTTTATTCCTCAGGACGTTACAGGCTAACTCTCCCGGCGGAGCAGGTCAGTTCTGTTTCTGTGGAAAGTGTGCACCTTCGAAGTCGGGGACACTTTCTCCCTCGGACACGGGCACCGCGGAGGCAGGCCGCGGCGCAGGCACAAGAAGCAAGTTCCTCTGGTGCAGGCGGCCGCGGGCCGCATGGAGGGGCTGTTCTGCCCGGGCCGCCAGCACCCAGCCCGGCATGCATGCATGCGCGGTGGTCGGGGACAGGCCCGCACCGTCTGCCCGCGTCCACGACGAGAACGCGGCGCCTCACGCGGACTCCTCGGCGGACAGGAGCAGCGGGTGGGTATATTCAAACCCTTCAAACTCCGACTGGTCGATCCTCTTGAGGACGTCCCTGTGGGTACCGGACAGGGCAGGCTCGACGGGCCGCGCGAGACCCCGGCCCGCAGCTCGGGATGCCCCGCCCCCGCCCCCCACGCGAGACCCGCCCACGTCCACGCCCCCGCAGCTCAGGACGCCCCGCCCGTCCGGCAGGTCTTACTCGTCGTCCGGGGTCAGCTGCACCGGCTCGCTGGTGAACTGCGTGTCGAAGTTGTCCAGGCCGTAGTCGTCTGTTATCTGCGGCTGGAAGGGCGGCAGGGCCTGCTTCTTCCCCAGCTGCAAGAAGACACGCGGTCAGACCCACGCGCGCCGGCTCAGTGCCCGCTTGGAGTTTGCACAAACATGAACCACAGAATCGAACAGAGAAGAGACCGCCTTTAAATATGCCTCATGTTTAAAGACCGATTGTTTTTCTCTTAAAACAAAGTCCAGCAGGAAAATTTTCCAGTCATAAAAACCCTACTTGAGCTGACAAATGCTGGCAGCGCAGGCCATGCGGGATGTACCTGGGATGGAGCGCAAAGTCCGACCACCCACGCGGGATCCCACGCCATCTGGGGTTTGCGCCCCCCTCGGCAGCCCCACCACTTAAACCAAAGGAGGCTGGTTTGGGGAAGTTTCTTCCTTTCTTAATCTGGGAACCCAGGTCATAAAGGAGCTGGGACCTGACAGGGACGCCCACACTGGAACCCCTTCTCCCAAAAAAGCCTTAAGTGGCCATTTCTATGGTTTTCTTTTTATATGTAAATTTATTTTCGGCTGCATTGGGTCTTCATGGCCTTGCAAGGGCTTTCTCTAGTTGTGGCGGGCGGGGGCTACTCCTCGTTGCAGTGCGCGGGCTTCTCATTGCAGTGGCTTCTCTTGCTGCGGAGCATGGGCTTCAGTAGTTGTGGCACGTGGGCTCAGTGGTCATGGCTCACGGGCTCTAGAGTGCAGGCTCAGTAGCTGTTGGTGCACGGGCTTAGCTGTTCCACGGCTTGTGGGATCTTCCCGGACCAGGGCTCGAACCCGTGTCCCCTGGATTGGCAGGCGGATTCTTAACCACTGCGCCACCAGGGAAGCCCTCTATGTATTTCTAATCCCAACGGGATGCAAGGCAGTAAAACGCTCGTCAGGCGGGAAATGGGGCGTCTCAGGACCCAGGCTCTGCTTCCTACTCGACATTTAGGAGGATGAGACATGCTCATGCCTGGAGAGGGCGAGTCGCGCTCTGGGGCAGAGCAACTCAGCGCCACACCGCTCACAGTGAGGACGGAGGACGGCGAGGATGGAGCAGCCCCCACGTTCACACACTCGGTGACATAACCCACCCTCCCACCCCCCACCCAGGTGTGCGCTGTGCACTTGTGCTGGGCCAGGCGCACTCCTAAGAACACAGATCGAGTCGTAAGTGAGAGATAAGGTCCTGCCCTGTGGGGTCTGCTCCCACCCACACCAGCCACGTGTGAGCCAGCAGCCAGCCCTCCAGCCCGGAGCCCTCAGCTCTCAAGGCCCGGAGCAGCTTGATTCAGGAAAAGGATGACCCAAGCCTTTCGGGACTGGCTGCCCCCTTCCCTTGGAGGGTCTGAGTGAGCGCTGAGCCTGGAAACCTCCACCTGGGTGGGGCCTCCGTGGGACCCTGTCCAAGATGTGGAACTGTCCCAAGGCCCCGTGTGGGGAGAGAGCGACAGCCGAGTCAAAAATAAGCCCCCAGCCCAGCTCAGCTCACACCGGCTCTTTGCACTGTGGGACCCAGAGCCATCAGGAACTCCAGTTATAGCAAGAGAAACAAACTGGGCCTGGAATGTTGAAACATGTTCCATAAGTTTGGGGACTTGGGAAGGACGAACGCAGGTTCTGCTGGCGAAGTTGGTGCATGAAATGAGGATGCCACAGAAACAGACGAATCCTTCCCAGGAACGCCCAGGTGTCAGGGCTGAGGCCCGCGCACCTGCCAGGGCCCCGGCAGAGGAACGCCTGTGTCTGTCACCCAGGGGATGCAGGAGCAGAGGGAACGGGCCGACCCGCAGGCAGAGCGGGGTCACCAGTGTTCGTGTGCGTGCATGTGTCTGCACGCCCGTGCACACACTGCAGTCACAAGGCCCCGGCAGCTGGTAGGGTTGGGCCACACCCTGGGCACTGTTACGGGGACACAAGGCCTTCCCTTCTTCCCTGACTTTCTTTCATGCGCAAGTTTCCGTATTCTTCTGTATGTATGAAATACATTCTGGTAAAAAGTGAAAAAAGGGGGCATTTCTTACACGATTTTCCCTACCTCAGGTCTCAGGCTGCTTTAAAAACATTTAAATAGCAAGAGTCAGAACAGACCATGAGGCAAGCACAGCTGGGTGCTGGCCTGGGGTCCTCTGAGCCCACCCCCTACCCCTGTCCCTGCTCTGGGGGCCAAGGCTGCCTCAGTCCGTGGCAAACCCCCCCGGAGTATCCCATACACAATGTCACCTCCTCTTCCCTCAGTCAAAAGCAGTGGACGAGGGACTTCCCTGCTGGTGCTGTTGATAAAACTCCGCCCTCCCAGTGCAGGGGGCCCAGGTTTGAGCTCTGGTCAGAGAACTAGATCCCACACGCATGCCGCAACTAAGAGTTCGCATGCCACAACTAAGGACCCCACGAGCTGCAACTAAGGATCTGGCAAGCCACAACTAAGGAGCCCACCCCCACAACTAAGACCCATCGCAACCAAATAAAAAAAACAAAAACAAACAGTGGACGAGAACGGTGCCACCCGAGTGATGTCCCGTGCATCCCACCACTTAGCCCTGCGGTGTTATGGGAAAGAGGAGGGTGGCGGCTCCGGTTCTGAGGAGATGGCCTGAAAGAGGTGAGGGAGCGGTGGAGGTCGGGGAGGGGCACAGCTGTGCAAAGACAGGAGCGGACCTGGTATGTCGGGCGTCGAGGGGATCACGAAGCCCCAGCAGAGGAGGCCGTTGCTGCTAGGGGTCAGGCGGGAAGCAGGGGACCAGCCCGGATGAGGGTGGCTCAGACCCAGGTGGCTGCAGTGGGGGTGGGAGAAGGTCCAGGCCCTGGAGGTTGAGTCCCTGAGGACTGGGTGGGTCAAGGTCCACTGCAGGGGGGAGGGGCAACAGTGCACCGGGATGTCCTATTGGAACTAGCTAGCCGGCCAAGCGGAAACGTCCGGGAGCTGAATCAACTCAGGTGGATGGCAGCGGTCACAGACCGGGCACCCCGCCACGGGACCCCCCCCAGCATGGCATGGACGCCCAGGCAAGGCTGTTCCCAGGACCTTCAAGAAGCAGCCCCCACCCCCAGGGGCTTGTCAGGCCCCCTCCTTGTTCTTCATGAGTTTCCAGATGGCTCCCCGCCCATTTCCACCCATCACACCCCCCTCGAGGGCCGCCCACCGCACGGGGCGGGGGGCGGTATCAGATTCCGCGCTGCTTTACCAGGTCCCAGTCTATACTACGGAAGAAAGCGTGAGACTTGATGTCGGAAAATCCAGTCTGCGGCCGGCAGCCGAGCCTCTCCTTAGGGTCCTGGGGGTCAGAGTTCAAATGAGGACAAGTCAGCACAGAGCAAGGCGGCCCCTGATTCCCGTGCCCAGCAGGGGAACGGGCCTGCCCTCCCCGGGACCCTCCCCGGGACCACCCCCCGCCGGCCCAGCACCCAGGCGAAGGCCAGACGTTCCCTTCATTGGAAACGCTTCCTCCCGGGAAGGTTAAGCTCCTCCGGGAAGTTCCTCTTTGGCATCATTTCTCGTCGTTACGTTTTGTCAAGTGTGAACAAGCATCCATAGGACCAAGGAAGGATGCAGAGAGCCACACCCACACCCGACACTAAAAATGCCAACCAGCTGGTGGAGCCGTGGCCCCAGTAACTGAGAAAGGGCCGCAGCCACAGCTGGCTTGGCTGCCACGGTGGCCACGAGCGTACCTTGTTTAAAAATCCTTTCAACACGTGGGAGGCCTTGACCGAGAGGAACCGGGGGATCCGGATGGGCTTCTCCAGGATGACTGCAACGACCCGGACCGGGAGGTGAGAGCCAGCTCCCTCTCCGTGCCCAGCCCCCGCCCGCCATGTCAGCTCTGCCCAGCAGCCAGGGAGCCGGCAGTCTGCAGGGCACTGGGAACCCTCCTGAGCAGTCGGTTTGGGGCACTCGTGGTGCCCTGGGCCCCATCCTACACCCCAGCAGGGTCTCGAGGCCGCAAAGGGCCCTAGTGCCCACGGTCACACGTGCTCACGATCACATACGAACCAACGGTGGCTCAGCTGGCCCTGCGTCCCCACGTCCACGGGTGCCAGAGGCCACCGTGGGGACAGCCTCAGCCCTGAGCCCCAGCATGCCGGGGCTGTCAGTTCTGGCCCGGGGCCCAGGTTGCAAGGAGCCGTGGCTGGAAGGGGGCAGCACTGTGGCTGAGCACAGCCGCTGCCCGGGACTCATGTGCACACCTGGCATGGGCGGAAGGGAGTTTGGGCTAAATCGGGACAGATTCTCTTTCCCGTGGGCGTGAGAGTGCCGTGTCCCCCCAGCCACGGCCGTTCCCACACCCACGGCCCGGGCTTTGCTCCCTGAGAGCCGGTCGTGGACGGGTGGCCCCACCTAGTCTGTGGCAGCCGCGGGGACCAGCCTGGGGACCTGCACCTCTGCAAGGGGAAATCTCGCAGGGTGTGGAGGCAGCTGGACGCACAGCCCACGCACCTTGGAAAAGGTAGTCCTCGGTGTTCATGTCGGGGTTGTCGGTGATGATGTCGAAGGGGGAGCGGCCAGCCATCATCTCGAACATCAGGACGCCCAGCGCCCACCAGTCCACGCTGAACCCTGGGGGAGAGCGCAGGCCTGTCAGGTCGGGGCCTCTCCGGCGGTGCTGTCCCGTCACGGGGCGACGGTCATGACAGTTTGCGTTTCCGTGTCCCCAGCGTCTCCCAGGCAGCCTGGCCTCCCCTCTGTCCACTGGCATCTCCCAGGCAGCCTGGCCTCCCCTCTGTCCACTGTCCCTGGGACGCTCGGCTCCCCCTTACTAGCTGCAAAGCTGTCTCCACATCGAGGCAGTCCACGGACGGCCAGCTGCTCCCAGGGTCTGCAGCTGTCCACCTCCATCACACACGGGGTTCCCATCCCGGGCCAGGTTCTAGACTCCCTGCTCTGGTCCACAGCTGCCGTCTGTCCTTCTCTGGCTACTAAGTGACTTCAACCCTATCAGCCTCCTGGGTGCCCAGGTATCTGAGGGTGCGAGAACCTGCCCACCCTGCCTACCCGCCCCCCGACTGTTAACAGCAAGGAAAATGTGCGGAAATATTCGATGGTATATTTGTGATGTGAAAACAGCAGAACCCAAGGAAGGGGTGACAAGCTCCAGTGTCCATGGGGGCTGTGCGCGGCTCTAGCGGCTCTGGGAACCCCCTCCAGAGGGCGGCACCCACTGGCTCGGGACACCCGCCTCAGCTCTGTCTTTACTTTGTCTTCTCCTGCCCAAGCCCTTCGGGCTCCTTGACCAGAGGGATCCTGTTCAGTGACCTCGCCAGGGCACACTCAGGTGGACACACAGGACAACAGCTGGGGACTGAGGCCAGTTAGTGGCTTGGGGCTGGGACGAGGTAAGGGTGTGCACTTTAGTGCAATTTGGTTAGGAAGCCCCCTCTCCCCGGCTGCTGGGCCAGGGCCCCAGAGCCCCTGGTTGGGAGCCCCGGCAGGGTTGGCCCCAGGCAGGCCCACCTCCCTCTCTCTCTGCTCCGTGGCCGAGTCCCCAGGGAGAGGAAACTCCCAGGGCTTGGGGCGCGCTCCCCCGCCTCCGCTGCGCCCAGCGCCCTAGCGCCCCGCCCACGCTCACCGTACTCCTCTCCCCGCAGGATTTCCGGGGCGATGTAGTTCGGGGTCCCGCAGAAAGTGCTCGTCGTGTCACCGGGGCCCAGGCCTTCCTGTAGGGATAAAGCCAGTTACCAGGAGGGAGGGGCCCGCCAGACACACCCCCGCCGGCGAGAGAACCAACAGAGGACCGGTGACGTGGGGGCGGCCGGAGCCCGGCAGCCAGGACGAGACGGAGCGGGCGCTGGGTTGCCCGGGACCCCCCAGAGGCAGGCGGGGGCAGCGGGCCGGGAGCCCACCTTGCACATGCCGTAGTCCGTCAGCTTGATGTGACCGTCAGCGTCGAGGAGGACGTTGTCCAGCTTCAGGTCCCGATAGATAATCCCCCTCTCGTGTAGGAAGTTGAGCGCGATACAAATCTCAGCAGCGTAGAACCTGGGGAGGGGGTGACACCCGTCATCAGCAGACAGAAGCCAACCAGGAACCGGGACGGGGGCCCAAGCACACAGACGTCCCGTATCCTCCGCTGAAGAGCGCGTGGGCCGACAGGACAGGACAAGGCACGCAGCGTCCTAGTGGTCAGGGAGATGCACACCAAACCCACCATGAGACCTCACCTCGCGCCCACCAGGACAGCCACTCTCCGAACCCCCCAGACAGAAAAGAACAAGTGCTGGTGAGGATGTGCAGAAACTGGAAGCCTTGTGCACTGCTGGTGGGGATGTAAAATGGTGCAGCTGCCGTGGAAAACAGTATGGAGGCTCCTCAAAAAAATTAAAAATAGAATTACCATGTGACCCAGCAATACTACTTCTGCGTATATAACCAAAAGAACTGCAAACAGGGACTCGAATGGGTATTTGTACCCCCGTGCTCACAGCAGCACTATCCACTGTGGCTGAAACACAGAAGCAACACAAGTGTCCATTGCCAGATGCTGGATAATGTGGTCCATTGACACAGTGCAGTAATATTCAGCCCTACACAGGGAGGAGATTCTGACACCTGCTCCGGCGTGCGTGGACCTTGATGCCACGATGCTGAGTGAAATAAGCCAGGCACGAAAGGCCACATCCTACGTGATCCCGCTTCTACGAGGTCCCTGGAGGCGATTCATAGAGACGGAAAGTAGGAGGGTGGCGGCCGGGGCTGGGGGAGGGGTGGGGAGTGAGTGTCTCATGGGGCCAGAGCGTCGGTTTGGGAAGATGAGCAAGTTCTGGAGATGACGGTGGTGATGGTTGTACGACACCATGAATGTGCTTAACGCCACTGAGCTGTGAACTTACAAATAAATGCGCTGAGACAGTAATTTTATATTATGTGTATTTTACCACAATTAGGAAAAGAGGACATGAGCGTGTGGGGCTCGCTCTTCTTGAATGACTACCCGCCTCCCCCCAAAAAGGATCTATGGTGACTCATAATGCCGCGTGGAATTATTTTCCAGTGAGGAAATGAGGAAAAGAGAAAAATATGGAAAACAGGAAAGAGCTACGTACGGGGTGGAAATAAACGCCCCACCCGCCCGTGAGGCCAAGGCTGCGTGGCGGTGATGGGGTCAGTGTCCCTGAGAGTCATTTAAAAAGAAACGGAGATGGTCTTCCTCTTCCAGGCAAGCCCCTGCTGTACCTCCGTGCAGATGGCGGGGAGCGGCCTTGCCGTCCAGGCGGCTAAGCTGATGGTCGGGACGTTCACCCCGTTTCAGAAACAGGGGAAAGCACGGTGCCACCGCACACGCAGCGCTCCGGGGGGTCGGCCACTCCCAGGACCCTCCCGGCTCTGGCCTGGCCCCTGGCAGGAGGCAGTGACCCCCTGTGCCCCTTCCCCAAATCCACTTCCCTCCTCCCGACGCCGGCCCCCGGCTGCACCCACCTGGCGTGCTCCTCGGGCAGCTTCCTCTGCCTCTGCATGTGAAACATGAGGTCGCCCCCGTTGACGTACTCGATGACCAGGAACAACCTGTGGGACACGTGGCGGGGAGGCCAGGGTCACAGGCGCGGCCGGGACCCCCACGGGTCCCCCTCTCTGGCCGGTCACCCTCCTGAGAGGCCCAGGGAAGGCGGTGACCGGGGCTGCCCGCCCCGCTCTGGGGTCAGAGGGAAGCCGCTCAGCTCTGACCCCGATGCAGTAAAACTCAGGAGAGGAACTCACCACTCGCTGCCTCCAACACAGTTATTTGCTCTCCCAGGGGTGCCAGGCCTGCCTTTCGTTAAAAAAGGCAAAAATAAGGCAGGCTGGTGGCCGGAGGCCCACTGGGGCAGGGAGGGCACTATGTGTCTGGGTGGCCGCAGAAGGCCTCCCCAGGGAGCAGAAGCCCGGGTGGTGGGGGGACGGGGAGGGGCCACGGGGGAGGGCAGAGAGCTGAGGGACCACCCTGTAGGCCAAGGGGAAGCCAGAAGGGCAGGTGCACAAACCAGGTGACGCAAATGACCCTCTGGCCGCTGTCTGGATGCACCCCAGGGAGGGGGCACGGGCAGGCGGAAGGGGGAGGAGGCGCCCAGGTGAGAGCACAGGTGCGCTGGCCAGGAGGGCCTGAGGCAGAGGCCGCAAGATTGCCAGTAGGCTGGGCAGCCAGGAGGGGAAGGAGTGGGTGGGACCCTCCCTGAACAGCAGGTCCCAAGGGGGAGGGGGTCAGGCTCGCTGACCTGGCCACAGGGAGTCGGTGATGCCGGCTGCCCTCCAGGAGGGGTGTTGGGGGCAGCGGGGTCGGGGCTGCCGGCGGGAGGATCCCTGTGATCGACAGATCCGTCCTCTGGATGCAGGCAGGGCCCTTCAAGTCTCCAAATTTACCATTTACCATGTGGTTTCTTTTCTGATAAGATCCTTCTCGCATTTAATAAGGTTCCATTTTCAAAATGAAATTCACACACGATTTTCCAGAAATACCCTGCTGAGGGCAGCTCGTGGATTTTTAGGTCAACGGCTCCTCTGGGGCGCTTCTGGAGAGTTGGGAGCACAGACGGAGGGGAGCAAACCCGCCGGCCCCCCAGCCTGTCTGCATCCCTGATTCAGGGATGACGTCCTTTAACACGGGGCAAGTGAACGAGCTGCGAATCGCCTTCCGAGTCTCTGATTACATGTTTAGACCAGAAACAACTCCCAAATACATAAACAGCAGAAGTGGAGACAAAAGCCTGAACACTGGGTGGGCAGCCAGAGCCTTCCCTGTCATCCCGGAGAAACCCAGCTCCTCTGTGGGGGCAGGGCGTCTCCCCTGCCTCCAGAGGATGCTCTCGGAAAGGCTCCAGGAACCCTGGCCCTGACACGGGTCCGCCCGCTTTGCAGACAGACTGTACTCAGGCACATTTTGCCTGTGGCTGCGTTCACACTACAGCAGAGGTGAGAGGCGGGGAAAGCTTGCCGACCGGCTACAGGCAGCGAGGGCAAACGACAGCTGCACAGCCCCCGCTGACCGTCGGGCACTATTCCAACGTGTGTGCACGTCTGATCCTGGCAGCTGCCCTGAGGGAAGTGCTATGCAGGTCCTCGACCCCTGGGGAGAGGCGTAAGGCCGGACGGTTTTTAAAGAAACCATTTACTAACAACTCTGTAGCATCAAAGCACAGGACGGTGTCTGCCGCCAGGACCCGGAATCATGCAGCCCCGGGAGGTGTGTTCGCCCCAGCGCGCGCGCTCCCCAGGGAACGGGTGTGGCCGCCCACACAGGGACAGAAAGCCACGCCATTCCAGAGAAAAGAAAGAAATACGCCAATCCTAGAGACAGACACCAACAGGATGGCTTAGGGAGCAGAAGAGATCTAAGGGGACATTTAAGAACCCAGAGAAGCAGCAGCAATGGTAGTTTCCCTTCTGTATCCAGGGGAAAGCCCGTCAAGGGAGTTTCAAGAGAAGCCGCATCTCTACGCGTGGACGCGGGGACACGTTCAGCTGGTCTGTGGCTGTCACCTGGGGCCCCGGGTCTCAGGTAACTTGCCGATCAAGGAACTTATTTAATTTGTGAAACTGATCAGCTACAAGAACAGAAAAGGATGTTTTTTTTTCTTAAAGCAACTGTGTAGCTGAAGATTTTTTTCGTTCTGCAAATAAATCTTAATACTACTTCCAACATTTCACTTTTTCCTTTTCCTTTTTAATTTTTACAGGAGTGCGCTGCATTTACAACGTTGTGTTATTTCAGGTGTACTACCTTCAACATTTCTTTAGAGCAAAACCCCACCAGAGCCGCCAGGGGCTGATTCACCCTGATGACAACGTTTTGTGTGACTCAGACAAGCTGGCTGCTATGACAAAACGCCCCGATGTCCACGGCCAAGCGCAGCTGAAGGCCGTCTCTGGGCTTCACGCCCGGGGCTCTGCCATGGCGCAGGCAGAGTTGGCACGTGTGTGATGCCAGGATGGGAAAGAAGCCACCCCTGGGGCCCAGACAGCAGCTTACGTTTCCTCGGTACATAACAAAATGTGCAAAATATAGTAAAACCTCGCAAAACAGGATTCATCAAGAGCTGGAGACAGAAAGGGGAGTAAACACCACAGTCAACTCACAGGCTGGGACCAGGGCAGGAGCAGAGGCCAGAGGCCGGCCCTACCTGCCTGACCCCCATCACCTGAGGAAAACCTGGGATGTGGGGCCTATCCGACGGCTGAGGGTGCTGGGGGCAGGGGAAGAGGGGACCGTGGCCCCACCTGCATGGGAGATGCTCTCCTCAGCCCGGGGATGAGTCAGGCCAGGCCCCTACCTCCCCACAGCCCCCATGGGATAAAACACCAGCCCCAGGCTTCCCTGGTGGTGCAGTGGTTAAGAATCCGCCTGCCAATTCAGGGGACATGGGTTCAAGCCCTGGTCCGGTAAGATGCCACATGCCACGTGCGCCACAACTACCGAGCCCACGTGCCACAACTACTGAGCCTGTGTGCCACAACTACTGAAGCCCGTGCACCTAGAGCCCGTGGTCCGCAAAAAGAGAAGCCACTGCAATGAGAAGCCCGCGCACCGCAATGAAGAGAAGCCCCCACTTGCCGCAACTAGAGAATGCCCGCGTGCAGCAACGAAGACCCAATGCAGCCAAAAATAAATAAACAAATTTATATATATATAAAAAAAGCCACCAGCCCCATACCTCGCTCAGAGGGGACACCGATGGCATGGGACAGTGTGCTGAGATCAAGAGGTAATGCCACATGGACACCAGCAGCTGGCTGCATCTGGCCCCCCGCCCATGTCTGTCAATAAAGCTTTATCGGAACACTGTCTTTGTCTGTCTGAACCCCAGTGAGTAGATGCCACAGAGACCATGTGGCCCTCAAAGGTGAAAATACTTACTATCTGGTCTTTTGAAAAAAAGTGTAGACCCCGCTGGTGTAAAAAATAACAAGAACAGCAGCTTTTACAGCCCTCACAAAATGTCAGGCACTGTTCCAAGCACGTCTGTGTATAAAACTTAACCTGAGAACCGTGCGGTAGGTTCTAGGAGTTTCCCTATTTTACAGACGGGGACACCGAGGCAGTGGAGGTGAACTAGCTTTCCCAGGATCACACAGTTACTGTCTAATAAGATCTGATAGCGGCTGATCTGGATGAATCCAGAACGCAAGCCTGGAGCCCCACCGCCAGTTACCGACCCCCCATCTCAGGGGTGGCTGCCCCCCAGTGGAGCTCAGGGACCGAAGAAAGGAAAAGAGGAAGCAGACAAGCACCTGGGCTCCCGACAATGAACGACAGACAGGAAAGGAGGCTGAGGGCCAAAGGGAGCATCTCGGGAGAGACCACCCTCATTCCCGGATGAAAACACAAATCAGAAACGCAAGGCAAGCCCCAGGACAGACATGGTCAGAACGAAAACCCTGACTCAGAAGGATGCTCACAGCGATCACGGTGAGCATGCAAACCAGACACAGCCCACGGCTCCGGGGCAGCTGCCAACAGAACAGGGAAGCTGGCAACTCCAGGCCCAGAAAAACCTCCTCTCGGAGCGGGGGCGATGAACAGCTTGTCTCCATCTCCCCGTGGACGATGCGTGCTGGACGGACACACCACCAAGCGCCCGTCTGCATTCGAGGGCAAGGGGACCTGGCTAAGCCTGGCTCAAGTGCCTGTGCTCTCACACGTGAAGGACGCACGGAACGTGAACTCCAGCCCTTCCCAGACTCGGGAGTCATGCCGCATGATGAAATTGAGCAAAGCAGGAGAGACCAAAACAGCGAAGCAGCTACAGGAGGACCGGCAGGAGGGTGGCACGCCTAAAAAACATAAAAATTACAGCAAACGCAATTGGGTGGTGGAGAGAGGGAAGCTGCCCTCTGAAACACCATAGGCCCCAGCAGATTCAGGGGATCCTGCCAAGAGATCATTTCAATGAGATTTACAATGTTCCAGAGAGTAAAAAAATAAGGAAAATGCAAAAATCTAATAAAGATTGTATAAGGGGAACTATAGATGGATCAGAAAACATCAATGAAAAACTCCTAAATAAGATCAGAAAACTGAATTCAAAAGCACATTAACAAAACTGTACACTAAGACCAGGCACGCGTTTTCCCAGGAATTCAAGGGGAGTTCAACCCTGGGAAATAGGTTATAATGATACAATTCATCATTTTAGGAGGCCCCGAGGAGTAAAAATCATAACAATCACCTCCATAAATGGTGAGAAGACCTTTGGAAAAATTCCATATTCTTTCTTGACAATAAAATAAAAAGAGGTGTAAACTTCCTTCAGACAAACTGTAACTCCATGCCGGTTATTGGCGTGTCTGTAACCTCCCCACTGGGAGTCTCTGAGCTGCGTTTCTGAGGCTCTGGGGGAGATGGGATGATGGGGTCCAGGAGTCCGTAGGGGGTGAGCCTATTCCCAAAAGCCAGACAGGGGCAGCACCTCCTTAGCCTCCAGCCTTGTCAGGCGGGGCCCCTGTGGACCCGGAACTCAGGGCGATGGCCGCAGGTGGAGACCCTGGTCCCTGCTGCTCCCTGCCTCCCCCAGTGCCCCTGGGCCCCTTGGTGTAGCAAACGCCAACACATTTGACTGGAATGCCAGCGTGGTCTGGTTCTGCGTTCCTGACGCCCCGCCGGCCCACAGCAGCTGGCGCTGGGCCCTCAGTGCCAACACCAGACGCGTTCCCTTGGGGTCAGGAAGGGGACAGGTGTGTCCACCACCACCAGTCCCTAAATGCGGCAGGTCATTAGAGGGGCACGAATCGGGAAGGAGGGGGTGGAAGCATCGTCTGCAGATGTTATCACCGCACAGCCGGAGATCCAAGAAAACCACCTGAAATTTACTGGAGAAAGAGAATCATGAGGCAAAGGGCCCGAAATCAATGTGCAGAAACCGCGTTACGCTGCTTGTTGCTCTAATGGAAGAAAAGGCCTCACTTACAGTAGAAACAGAAGAGAGAAACACTCAGGACAAAGATGAAGCGAGGAACTGAAAACTGCACGGAGAAAAACTAAGATCTCCCGAAAGAGCAGATGGAAAGGGAAACCACGTGACTGAGCAGGAAGAGCCTGCACCATAAGGATGCCCCGTCTTCCTCTCCGGAGCTGGACAGGTTGACTCCGAAGTCCACGTGGAGAAGTAAACAGCAAAAGGGAAAACAAACAGCAGAACGTGCGGACGGTAAGGCCAGGGAGCGCGCACAACAGCTACTTCCTCCTTTCGCTCTGCTGCGTTTTGAAATGGTGTCAAGTTTTTTTTAAAAAAGGAGCTACCCTTTTACGTGGTTTCTGATGTCGTTTAATAGTTGGCAAAAGCGCAGTTTCAGGCCTGGTCCTGACAGTTACTTCGACCAAAGGAGCCCCCACGCCCGGCTCTAGCGAGGCCCTGTCCAGGGGAGGCGTGCAGCTGGACAGGACGTCATCTCAGTTAGGCAGTGGCTGCGTGGGGCACCGGAGTCACCACATCCTAACGGGATGGTCCAAGGACGCCAGCCTCACGGAGAGCACGTCCCACGCCGGTGCACGTCCATCCCCAGGCACGCGGTAATAACACGTCCCCGCCACCCACTTGCCCTGGTCTGAAAGCAGCCAGTCGCCACCAGATTAGGAAGAAAGAAGGAATCATACTCAGTGAAGGCCGTGTGTGGGCACAGCGGCGGGAGGACTCAGGCCCCTGGGCTAGGCGGACGGAGGCCACGCCCCAAGGGCCCCTCACTGTCCGGGGCTGTGGGGTGATCCACAACAGCTACCACAGCGTTTCCAGAGAGATGGAAACGATGGAAAAATACAGCGAAGTCCTGAAACCTCCTGAGTGTTCCAGGGAGTCTCGACTCGCTTCTCCCCACGTGCGCCCTCGTGCCGGGCAGTCTAGCCCGAGGGGCCCTGCTTGGTAGCCTGAGGGGTCAGGGCTGCGTCCGGACCGTTTTAGGGGATGCAGGGGATCCAGGTGGAGAACAGAGGCTGACGTGGCTCCACCCACGCCCACTGTCACTCAGCGCCGCGCTTTCTATTCCGGGTTTAAATTATGACTGGAACACATGTGCTGCCTTTGGAAAGTACAGTGACTCACGTTCCCAAGGAGGGAGCACCTGCCCCTCAAGGTCGCGGATGACTCCTGCCGCGTGCACGGCCCCGTGGGCGCATCCTCACGCAGATGTCACAGGTGTCCCGTGACCACCACCAGGGCCCCCGAGAACCGGATCTCCCTGACCCTCCATCAGGAGCGGGCGGAGGTCAGACTGGGCCCGGGGTCTGCTCACCGCAGGCCCGCCGGCTTCTCACCGTGGCGACAACACACGTGGCCCCGGCTCCCCCTCGGCTCCCCGCTTCCCAGCCCCACGTCCACACCGCCCACTGGACACGTGCTCGCCCCGCGCCCCCAGCTCTCCACGTCGGACCCCGCCTGCCGCCCCAGCAGCGCCAAGCGTTCGTCAGTCCTGCCACGCTCTCCCTGGCATTGTGCGAACTCACCATCCTCGTCTCCCTCTAGGCCTCCGTCAGGCCTCCTCGCCCAGCAGGTCCTGCGTCCCCGGCTGAGGATCATGGTGCTTTCGGAAGCCGTCCCACTGTCAAGCCTTTCCTCATCCTTCCCCGGCACAGCCGCCTCCCCTGGGACACACCCGTGCGACCGTCCCTCGTGGGCTCTGCCCCCACCCCACCCCGCCTTGGCGGCGTTCCCAGGGTACACGTGTGTGCTGTGGCCCCCCTGTATGGGGCCCCGGGACCCCGTCCAGGCTGAGGTCTCTCCAGAGCTGCAGGTGAGTCCTCAGGTGCGATTTACAAAGGCCAACACACAAGGCGTTTCACATCTCGAAGGCACCGGGAACCAAGAAGAACCGAGTTTAGCGTCTAAGCGGGCACTGCAAACAAGGCACAGCTGCTGTGTTCTTCTTTGAAGGGTAAGAAGCACCCGCGTCCGTACATAAACACAGATAACCAACTGGGCCAACGGTTAAAAGGCTTTATGTTGGAACAGCAAGTTGACTGTAAACACTTTACTGGTGGCTTGCTCATCTGTGATCTGAGACCACGCAGAAGCGAGAAAAAGGTCCCCAAACTACAATCTAACGTGGGGGGCTGGGGGAGGGAGAAATCAATTTCCAGCCACCATCTCTCGATCACCCATTTTCCCCACAATAGCTTAAACTGAAGCCGCTTCCCCTGTTTTGGCCATTTCGGAGTTAATTTTGGCTGTTGTGTAGAAAAGATGGGCTATGTGGATACGAACAATGGTTTTTCCGTAACACAGATGTTTATTTTACACTAAAACCCCACTGTGGGACTTCCCTGGTGGCGCAGTGGTTAGGAATCCGCCTGCCAATGCAGGGGTCATGGGTTCAAGCCCAGGTCCGGGAAGATCCCACATGCCGCAGAGCAACTAAGCCCGTGCACCACAACTACTGAGCCTGCGCTCTAGAGCCCACGAGCCACAACTACTGAGCCCGCATGCCACAACTAGGGGAGACCGTGCGCCTAGAGCCCGTGCTCCGCAACAAGAGAAGCCACCGCAATGAGAAGCCCGCACACCGCAACGAAGAGCAGCCCCCGCTCGCCACAACTAGAGAAAGCCCGTGCGCAGCAACGAAGACCCAACGCGGCCAAAAATAAATAAATAAATACATACATAAATACATTTATAAAAAAATTAAAAATAAAGCCCCACTGTACCATCTGCATACGTTTGTACACACATGGTGCTCTGTACCCTGTGTCTACACGTGGCGACATTAATGACTGTAAGGCTCGGGACTCCACGTCCATAAGTGAACATGGAACATGGCAGAGCCGGATGGCACTACTGGATTTGGGGAGAAAAAAGAAATGCTTATTTTCTTCCCATCCGGAGAACCCCTTCTGATAACTGCTCGTGAGAAACTGTCTTATTTACCAGAGTTTTGCTGGTGGCGGCCCGCGAGCGCAGTTCCGGAGTGGAGCGGGTGTCCGCTGTGTTCAGTGGCGCTGCAAGGGCTCCGCCGGCTCCTGGCAGCACGGCAGGCCCTCGGGGCGGCAGCTCGGCGAGGAGCCCACGGGAAGAGTCGAGGTGGCCCGCACGCCCATCCCAGCCACGTCCCCGCCGCCACCCTGCCCACCCACCTCCCAGTTCCCGACTCCAGTGGCCTCGCTCCTCATTCGCCAGCAGCAGTGGGCGCGGTGCTGAGAGCCGCCCAACGTGGGGCGGGGCAGCTGCTGGCTCCTATGTCCTCGCGGGCTCAGACACGAGGTTCCGTCTGTTTGTTCCAAGGCCCAGCACCCCCAAGAAGAGAGGCCCTTTCAGCCGAAGCTTACATTATTCACGGTTCCCCGGGAGCGGGGCCTTCCTGGCTATAAACGTTTCACTGACGGACCCACAGCCACAGCCGCTGAGGTGGGCATCCCTGCCATTCCCTGTCCCAGGGCTGAGACGGGGCCCAGAGAGGGTGCCCTGTGCGAGGTCGCCCGGACAGTAAGGGGGGGGCTGGCACGTGAAGCCCAGCTGTCGGCTCCAAGCCTCTGCTGGTACCACTGTCAGGAGAACCACAAAAGGCTTTGAAAGACTGAAATGAGGACGGGGTCTCCGGAGGAACCAGGCTCTGCTGGCACCACCCTCCCAGGGCACGGCTTCCGGGGTCTCCCTCCGTCTCTGAGCCACTTTCCAACCGGGTGCGTTCTACACCAACAATGCCATCCACAGACTCGCAAAGGAAGTCTGCCTGGTGGGGCCCCTCCCGGCCTCCCGGCCGGCTCGGCACCAGGCATCGGCCAGTCCCAGGGTCCCCGTCACCCGACGTGTGCGGGATCTTGAATTCTCCTGTGAGCGGGCTGTAACCTCTGACGAGTCCCTCATTAATCAGTGAGTCACATAAACGCTGACACACGCTCACTTTATATCTGTACCAAGGACATGTACCTTAAAAAAATTATCCTTCAACACCACAACTGCCTATGAGGTGCCAGGTATGAACCAACTGCTGGGAGCACAAAAACACCCCACCCGGCCCTGCTCTGAGGGAGTTCACACCGTGGGTGGTGGGGGACAGGCGTATATCATAAACCGGCGTCAAAGCAGGCACGTGGAAACAGCCCGGAGAGACACCCTATCCTGACTAACCAGGTCTCAGGTGCTTCTAGACGTCATTGACGGATTCCATAGAAGTGGGAGGCAAAGGAACTAGACACGGAGGCTAATGACTCCTGGGATGCCTCCCGGCTGTGAATGCGAAGGCCGTAACACATCTTCTCACGTCAGTTTGGAAAGGCGCTACAGTGCGCACCTGCATCGTGGGGCTCACACAGAAACACCTGCGGGATGGTTTTTGTTTCCAATTCTAACCTTAACGCACCTGGGAACACGTGAGCCGGCGGATTTCCGGGACGTGAGTGCAGAAAGCGCTGTGCTCCTACAACAGGGCTGGAAGTGAGGCTGAAACACCTGACCCTCGTACGTCCACGCCCTACAAGTTCATACAGTGAAGTTAACTGAAAAACACAGCAAGACTCGTTTCACAATACGTTTAGGGAGCGTGGGGTTGGGGGGACACCCTCGGGCGTGCCCCATAATCCCAAGAGACTGGTCACAGCCAAAGAGAGGTGAGGAAAGCGCACCGGACACTACTGCTGGGCCCTCCCGGAGCCCCGGGCGGGGGAAGAGGCCCGGCAGGCAGGGCGGCAAAGATGGACAGAGGGACCCAGGGGCAGCCTGGTTGCAGGGGCCTCGTCCACACGCCTAGGGGCCTGGACTGTCTCCCAGAAGCAACTGGGAAAGTGGTCGGGGGGCTCTGAAGCGGGTGATGGATACTTCAGATCTATGTTCTCGAAACATGGCTCAGTTCCAACGTGGGGGAACTGACAGCCTGGTGCCCCAGGGACCGGATGCCCCGAGGAGGCTGCAGCTGGGGCTCAGGGGGAAAGGGAGGGTCTGAGACCCACTCAGGAGGCAGAATCACTGAGCTCTGGGAAGGTGGCAGCGCCAGTGCCGGTGGGAACAGGGGGCTGAAGATCGAGAGAGGCGGGGGTGGGTGCGGGGGGTGTCGGGGGGTGAGTCACTGCTCTGATCACAACGAGGCCCCGAGCAGAGAGCGGCCAGAGCAGGACCGAGACCGTCGCGCAGGGAGGCTTGCCTGCACGCCGGGCCCTAGCAGAGTCGGGCCTCGCTCGACCACTGGCTCCCTGCGCTGATATAAAACTTCCCCAAGTGATAAGCGTGCCTCACTGTGATCACACGGCACAAACAACACGGTTGACACTGAACACCTGCTGCTGGCTGGGAGTGTGGGACTTTGGCACGTGTTAGGTAGAGGTGCCTACGTGACCCGCCCCCAGTGAACCCCGAGTTTCACAATTCCCTGTGGAGGAATTCAGGGTGTCCTGTGGGACTCCACAGGGAGGGACTCCGGGCAGCTCATGCCTGGTCTCCTCCCGACTTTACCCCGTGCATCGTTTCCCTTTACATCCTTTCACAGCGGTAAGCCTTAGCCTTGAGTTTGACGATGTGCCGTGTCCTGCAAGTTCTCCTAAGTCACCGAACCTGGGGGTGGGTCCTGAGCACCCCGACCCAGAACACAGTAACTTTTCAAGTAAACAAACTGTGTGAGTTCAAGTCACCTGGCCGAAAAAATTCCAAACTGAGTATACGTTGACTATCCTAGACCAGTAGTTCCAAACCTTTTTAAAGTCGAATTCTAATATGTCCAAAGCTTCTAAGTGAGGCTGTTTAGTATTTATTCATTTATTCCACTCACCAGTGAGATCCACAAGCACAAGGACAGGCCTCCCATTCACAGTGGCATCCCAACACCTGATCCCGTGCTTGTGTCAGTGGGATGCGCTCAGTAAATAATTTGTAAACAGAATTAAAGAATTTAGCTTCATTTGTACGAAATTTACTTAATATGAATGACACCAGCCAATGAAAACAACACAGCTAGTTTGAGGAACCAAAAAGCCCCCATACTTGCAGACAGGAGGACCCTACAGACGACGGCAGAAACCTCGTGACGACACGGCCTCCACACGGTTCAGGTCAGAAAGCAGCAGAATCCCAGAAGCACCCCCTTTCTCTTACCGACTTGTTGTCTGGAAGCAGGAGTGTAAGCCGACCAGGAAAGGGTTGCTGGATGCCTGCTCAAACACGTGCTTCTCTGTCTGTACCCAGTCAATGTCCTGAAATAGAAGCCAGGGGGTGTGAACACTTCACGGGCATATCCTGGAGAAGGGGAGGCAAGAGAGGAATGTCAGCTCTGCTTGAGGGGTGACCATGCAGAGAGGAAAAGAAAACGCCCGCTGAGAAATTCCCCCCACCACCATCGCCACCCCACTACTGTCACCCACTACCATCCGTCACCTTCACCTTCACCATCCCCACCACCGTCAGCATCGTTACCTGTCATCTATCACCATTCACATTTCTCACCGTTTCTACCACCATCACCAAAGCCACCATCACCAGCTGTGCACTGGCCTCTGGGCTACAGGCTCTCCCGCACTGCCCCATGTGCTGCCCGTGGCAGCCTTGGAAAGTCTGTATTATCATCTCCACTTAAGACAGGAGGAAACAGAGAATGGAGGTTTCTCCAACACCCCACATCCACCTCCCAAGCACCAGCTCCCACGGCAGGGCTATCTCCCTCCCAATCCACACTGGAACTTGGGGAAAACTCAGCTTGAGAGTCTCGGCTTTGGTTCCATTACAACCCCAGAAAGCAGAGTCGGACGAGATTCCCCGAATTCCCCAGGTTAGACCTCTTGTCTCAGGGGTTGGGAAGCGAGAGGGAACGGGATGTGTCCACGGTAGCCTGCCTTCCCCTGAAGGTTTCTGGAAAAACGAGCAGACTCTCAGTGAGCATCCCTTTGGTGGCCAAAGACCGTCTGGGTTCCTCGTTCTGGGGCTGGGTCCTGACCTCTCTGCCCCTCGCTCCCAGGGACGCCCTGGCCGGCATGGCTCCGTCTGACCAGCCCCACCTCCCCCAGCTCCACTCGCTCGTGCAATGGCCACCTGGTGTCCGCACTCAGCGTCTCATGTGCAGAGCAGGCCTCCAACAGAGCCCTTGACTGTCCCTGTGTCTGTTCTCGCAGGCACTGGGCCACCCGGGTGCTCAGGAAGGAAACGCCGTTGGGTGCGTGATGCCTCCTCCCCCACGCCCCCGGGTCCACCCGCCCCCCGCCTGCCGGACTCCCCACGCTAGTTTAACAAAACGCCACAGACCTCGAGACTCAAATCCTCCAAACTGTATCCTCTCGCTGATCTGAGGAAGAAGCCTCTGGGCTCAGGGTGTGGGCAGGGCCCCGCGGAGGGTCCTTCCTGCACCTCCAGGGGACTCTGGCCCTTCTCCGCCTCTGTCTTCACAGTGACTTCTCTGTGTGTGTTTTCCTTCCTTCCTGTCTCAAATCTTTCCCTGCCCTTCTCTAAAGGGACACTCGTCACTGGATTTAGGGCCCCCCAATTGATCCAGCATGACCGCCGCAGGATCTGTGATTACATCTCCCCAAATAAGGTCCTGTTCCCAGGTTCCTGGGATTGGGACGGGGGCCACGGGACGGCAGCGCCTCTCACAAACGCACAGTTGGCCCGCGCGCCACATCCTAGGGTCTCGCTCCCCTGAGACCACCTCCGAGTCCGAGCTCCAGTCCCGGCCACGTGCGAAGATGCCGAGAGCGACCACAGCAGTAACTCTCTCTGGAGGCCTCTCCTCTCAGCGTTCTAGAAACCGGCCCTCACACACCATCAACCCTCCAGCCAGCCGCAGGCTGGGAAGGGGCTTGGAATCCTCTTGCGGGGCTGCAACCGGCAGTGAAGACGCTGGCTGGACCCCGCACTTCCCGGGGCCTCCGCTGCCTCAGCTGTGAGGCACGGATGTCCTAACTCACTTGTGAGCTCAGCACCCAGGGCTGAGGGGCCAGCTGGGCGCTGTGAGCACTGCACAAACGCACTTGCTGGGAGGACAGGTCGGGACTCGGTGCAGCCCCGCTCTGCCCTCTGAACTGCGAGCCTGGGCCGGGGACCCCGCCCGTGGCCCCCGCTCCACGGGCGCCAAGCGGCCTCACGGGTCAGCAGCGGCTGCGCCGGAACAGACTGACTGCTCCCCGTGAAGCCAGTTCTCTGCTCCTTAGGGACGTCACCCCCGTTCAGGGGTCAAAGAAACAGGTCAAAAGTACGTCAAGCCAAGAAGCCCATGAAAAGGAGCTCAACACGTTGTCACTATGGGAACGCCAATCAAAGCCACTTCATACCCACCAGGACAGCAATGGTCAAAAAACAGAAAATAGCAAAAGCGTCGGCAAGAACGCGCAGAAATTGGGAACCTCACGCGTTGCTGCTGGGAATGTAAAATGGCACAGCTGCCGTGGAAAACAGTTTAGCTGTTCCTCAAAAAGGTAAACATAGAACTACCCTATGACCCAGCAGTTCGCCTCCTGGGTAAACACCCAGGACGAGTGGAAATAGGGACTTAAGCAAATAACCGCACGGAGCCGTTCACGGCAGCGCGACTCAAGCAGCGGACGCAGAGACAAGCCCAGTGCCCGTCAGCGGGTGAACAGAGAAGCCCGAGGGGGCTGATCCGTAAAACACAACGTGGCCGAGGCCTAAAAAGGAAGTAAGGTTGCGCAGACACCCGCTACCACGTGGACGGACCTTGAGAACACGATGCTCCATGAGAGAAGCCAGACACAGAAAGTCCCATAACGCACGGTTCCACTTACACAGAGCGTCCAGAACAGGCAAATCCACGGAGACAGTGGGTGGCCGTAGGGGCCGGGGAGGGGGCGGTGGGGGGGACTGCTCATGGGGACGGGGCGGCCTTTTGGGGGGTGAGCGGGTGTGAAGCGGGGTGTTGGCGAGGGTGGCCCAACACCGTGAATGCGTTAAACGCCACTGAACTGTGCGCTTGAAAGCGGTCAACGGGCAAACTTGGTTACGTGCGCTGACTTCCATCCGAAGGAGCAAGTAGGCGGGCCCTCACCTCGTCATCGTGGACCAGCTCCTTCTTCACCACCTTCATGGCGTAGACCTGATCGTTCTTCTTCAGCCGTACCAGCAGGACCTTGGCATAGCTCCCACGTCCGATGACCCTGAGCAGGTCGAAGTCCTGCAGCCCGAGCCCCTGAGATATTTTGATCCCGTCCATCCCATCGATGACCGGCTTGAGGTCCTGAGGGAGGGAGGACAAAACGGGAGGAAGCGGGAAGGGGACTCGTGCGCGATGGGGGAAGACGTGGCATCCGCGCCCCGGAGCCCAGAGCCCCATCCTGCTCACAAGTCCTGACTCTCTGTCCCAAAGGCCGCCACTCCCGCGCCACCCAGGAGCAAACCCCAAGAGCTTCTGGTGGAAGAGGCCGGAAATCCGAGAGCCGTCATCAGCCACCGGTGGGCCTTCTGCAAGCAAGGAGGGATGCTCGGGGCCAGCCCCACCTGGACAGGCCGAGGAGGTGGCCGCAGGCTCACACACCCAGGGGCCAACGGTGCAGCGGCCGGAAGGCCACCTGGCCCTCCCTGGGGGGTTGCAAAGCATAACTTGCTAATGTCTGGAAAGACCTTCCAAAGCAAGTACCGCTAGAAACAATATACGATGAAAGAGAAAGGCAACGTGATTAAGGGCACAAGCTCCCCTCCTGAGAATTATCTCTGGCGAGGATTCTTAGGTGGAGGGAGGGTAACTAAGTGTTCCTGACTCACTCCAGACACAGAATGACCAGGGAGAAAGATCTAGACGTCCAGGCGGGGACACTGACCTTGGGAAAGGTGTGGCCTCTCAAGGTGTTGCTGTTCCCTGAGGTCCTGTGCACAGAGGTTGAGCTCCAGCTGGAAATGTCCTTGCTCAGAACCACAACTTCCTGAGCCTCATTTATCACCCAGAGTCCAGTTGTGATGCTGTGATTTGTAACACCAAGCTCCTCTCTGTTCTAGGGCCCCATTCCTGGCACACAGCTCCTAAAGCCTGGGGGGGATTTCCTAAGTGCTGAGAGCCAGCAAGGTGTGTTTTGTTATGTTAATGAGGCAACTACAGGGAAGCCTCTAGGTCACCTAAGGATGCAGCTGGCTGCCAGGGGAACCAACTCAGGGATTAGAAGGTCAGTCCCATCCCTGACCTCCCAGGAGGGGAGAGGGGCTACAGCTTGACTCCAGCGCCAATGGCCAATGATTTAATTACACCTGTGTAATGAAGCCTCTGTAAAACCCCCAAAAGGAGAGGTTTGGAGAGCTTCTGGGTTGGTGAATACGTGGAGATTTGGGAGTGGCCCTCGCTCAGAGACCATGGAAGCCCTCGCCCCTTCCCCACACCTTGCCCTGTGAGCCTCCTACAGATGGCTGCTCCCGAGTTACAACCCTTTAAAAGAACCCGGTGATCTGGTGAGTAAAATGTTTCTCTGAGTCCCGCGGGCCGTTCTCACAAATTAATTGAACCTGAGGAGGGGGTCGTGGGACCCTCCAATCTGTAGCCAGTCGCTCAGAAGCACTTGCAACTGGCATCTAAAGTGGGAGGAGGGGTCCGTCTCGTGGGACTGAGCCCCCGACCTGGGGGATCTGTTCCCCGGTCGATGGTGTCAGAGCCGGGTTACACTGTAGGACACTCAGGGTCTGCTGAGAACTGCAGAGCTGCTGGGCAGTGTGGAAAGCACACACAGAAAATAAAGGCAGGCTTTTATGCAGTGCAGCTCGGGAGGCAGCCCTGGACCCGCTGTGCTGTCTGGGTGGAGAGGACGTGGGAAGCCCTCACCCGCAGCAGAAGACGGTGCCAAAAGCCTTTGGGGCAGCAGCCTCTGGGGCTTCATAACGGATGTGCCCCTGGTGAGACCCAGCTGTGGAGGCGCCAGGGCCTGTTCCCGGAGCTGTCACCTCCCCCCTCCTCGCCACCTCTCCTTCACTGCCGCCCGACAGGCCGACTCCCCCACCCCAGACACCCCATCCCCCCAAACCAGAGGGCCCGTGAGAGCTGCCTGTGGGCGCCAACGTCCCTGCCACACAAGGCACTGAGTCCCAGAGACGGGGACTCCCGCCACGGGGGAGGGGGACGGCCGCAGAAAATGTAAGAGCCTGGGTGCTGGAGTGGGCGTGACAGCCAGGTCAGAGTGAGCCCAGCCCCCAGAGGCCAGCCTTCCCGCTTTCTCTCAAAGCACAAGAACACGGGGTTTCCTTTGTGGAGGTCACGGGTGCCCCTTGTGGTCCACCGTGATGGCCTGAGCCACCTGTACTGATGTGGAAACGGCCACGCCGGCAGTCAGTGCCGTGGAAAGCTTCCCGTGCGCCGGGCGTGGTGCTAAGCGTTTATACAATGCTCTCAGTTTACCCTCACGGAAAGGCGCAATCATTATCCACACTCGACAGAAGAGGATCCTGAGGTCAGAGGGGTCCCCTGACCCGGGCTCAGACCAGGCCTGCAGCTTGGGCTCACACAGACTCAGCCAATGACCCCTCACGCCCAGTTCTGCGTCGGTGAAAGAGTACGTACAATGAGCACCATATGCTCACCTCTGAGATTCAGCAACGGCTCACGTGCTGCCACGTTCACTTGCTCTCTGCCCATTCGGCTGTACAGAGAGCACCTCTGTGCTAAATGTCTGGAAGACCTCACAGACCTCTGCCCTGGAAGCCTCAGTGTGCGCGATCCCCAATGCCGCAAGGCCGTGCTCCCCCCAACCCTCCTCGTTCATATTCGGGTTTCCACGCCTGCCCCAGAAATGAGCTAAAGCACCTGTAAACAGGACGCTGAAAACACCGATGAGCCGTGTGCTTACTCACCTCAGGCTCATCTTCAATGTTGTCATGTTTCCGGGTTGAAGGAATATATGCAACTAGTGAAGAAAGGAGAAGAAAGCGGCGTTACAGGCATTGTTGGGGACGCGGCCTGAGACCCCCACGGCCCCCGCCCCTCTGTGGAGACACAGTGGCCCGGGCCAGGCCGCCAGGCCAGCCGGTGCTCAGGGTGAAGGCCTGGCAGCCACTGTGACTCAACTAGAGACTTAAGAAAATGCAGCTTCCTGGGCCCCACCCAGACCTGCTGACTCTGAACCTCTGGGGCTGGGAACCTGCCTCTGTGACAAGTTTCCCTAGTGATTCTTCTGAAGTGACGGATCATAAGATTTTGGTGTCTAGCCTTCCGGTCTTTTGTTCTTATGGTACGCAGATGGCTGGCTGGGTGGACGGGTACTTGTTAAGGGTCTCCTTTACGTGAGGTGCTGTGCTAAGGGTTTTATGCTCCGTGGCCTCCTGTCATCCCAGGGGATGGAACTCATTTATCAAACGAGGGCTAGGGCCCTTGCACACCCTTGTAATGGCGCACAGAACTGCAGAAGCTCAGAGCTGGGCCATCAGTCCAATTGGTATTCAGAGTCACTCTCTGAATGCTTCTTAGCATTAAAAAAAGTCTCTCCCCAACCAAAAAAAAAAGAGAGAAAGAAAAAAGAAAAAAATCCACTAAAACTCAAGAACTACACAGTAGCCTGCCATGCGCACTGCAGGCCTTTCCACAGAGATGGGTATCCATGGTGGCCGCTACGCTACGTGCCTCTTAGAATGTCCGAAGTCGGCACAGAGGGCAACCCCACCCCGGGCTCCCCAGGCAGCAGCACACAGAGACGTGGGCACCCAGGGAAGGCCACCCCGCCCACTTCTGACCGGACGACGGGGGCCCTGAGAGCCCTCCCCAGTCCCGCAGCGAGCACGGGACATGCTCCCAGGTACTGGCCCCTGGTGAGAGGAGAGGATCTAAAAGGGTGCCCCGGGGGAAGGGGAGGCGGGCGGGTGTTCCCGGGGGGCGGGGCGAGCAGCCCCTACTTCCATCCGTCTCCTCAGAAGGAAGGTCCACGTCGTCACTCTTGTCGTCCACTGCAGGCTCCTGGGAAGGCATGACAGAATCCTGCAGAGAGACGGCAACACAGTGACCCGGCGGGCGCCACGACGGAGCTTCTGGAGACTTGTAAGTCACCTGTTATGTAACACACACTGTAACACACGTATCACTCAACTGTTACATCATCGCACTGAACACGGGAGGAGGAGCATTGAAGTCACCTGTGAGTCCACAGGCCGAGGTGACCACTCAGCCCCTCGGGCCGCGACCTTCCCGGCAGGTGCTTTAGAAAGCGCGTGTATTTACACAGTGACGCTGACTCCTCTCTCCCGCCCCCAGCCCCCATCACGCGTTGGCTGCAGTCAGGCCCCAGCTCCGGGTTCCACGGCTGACGTCACAATCGAGGAGGCTCCCTAGGTGGACCCTGCGGCCCCCAAGAGTGCCGGGGGCTCCCGGGGCTCAGGAAGAGGGCCCGACCCAGACCGCTGGCCTGGGCCGTCACCCTGCAGCCCACGGGAGCCCCCTCCTCTCTCTCGCGGGTGGCAGGGACGATGTCAGGGCCCCACCTGGACAGAAGGAGGCCGAGGGTCCCTGGGGCAGTGTGGACACCCGCCCAGGCTGTGCCCGGCCCCCACTCACCATATGCCTGTCGCAGCTCAGCGGGACGAGGACGTGGCAGCGCTTATGGACCAGCAGTTTGCAGTTGATGCACCTGTAGCCCTGCCTGGCAAGGCCCCATATCCTTTCACTGCACTGGCCACAGTACGCTCTCTGCACGGGACGAAAACAGCCGCTGTCAGGGGGCCCCGCCACGCCGCGCGGACATGCCGCACCGTCACGACGCGCTGCTGGTGCGGGAGGTGGCCCTGTCGTCTCATCCAACCGGGACCAGGCCCCCACCCAGGCTCGGCAGCTCCGTCCCAAGGTTGGGGGAACCGAGGGCCCCAAGGAGGGCGCTGGGGCTCTGCTCCTTGTGAGGGAAAAGGGGAGGCCCCGGCAGGCAGGGGTGAGGAGACCCCTCCACGGGCAGCGCCCCCCCTGCTTGCAGGGCCTGGAGTGGGAGTCGTAGCTCCTACCAGGCCGCGCTCAGAACAGCCAAGGGGCCCCCTGTGGGTGGAGGGACCCAGGTGAGAAGCGGGTGGGAGAGCCGGCTGCCTGACCCTCGTCCAAACACCCACCTACACGACAACCACAGAAGCGACCCTGCCTGGCGTCAGGACATGTCAGGATTCTGAGCTGCTCTGGGGCTCCATGCAATTATCTTGGTATTTTTCTCAGCGTTTTAAAAGATTTTAAATGGTCAATCTTTATTCTTCTTGGTTCTAAACACCTGAAATTCATGATCATTTTTGTCTTGTTTGGAGAAGTTTTTGGAATGTCACAAAATGCGTGGAGGTGAGCGTGTGCAGAAGTCTGGTCACCCGCCCACCACTCGGCGTCCAAAGTCATCTTCGCAGTTCCGTGGTGTCCGCACGTCGACAGGTTCCCCATTTAGTTTTTTTCCAGCCATAACTCGTTTTCGCGTTTTACCCTCTTTTGCCTTTGTTTTTGCTTTTTTTTTTTAACAAACTTCTTTCTTTTGAGAGAGTCTCAAATTACTTCTGGAGAACAGAAAGGATACACAGTACCAGCCGCGCAATGGAGCTCATTTAGGAAACAGAGCGAACCCTCACGAGGTGTGGGCCTGAGGTGCAGGACGGGCTGCTGGCGGCCAGCGGGCACCGAGAAACTGATTTCCCACCAGGAAGGAGCCCCCTCCCCATACACAGAGCGCATACGTCTCAGTCACGGCCATGTGGTCAGCACCTGGGACAGTGCCCAGCACACAGTGGGTGCCCAATAAAGGTTTGCTGAAGACAAGTCCACACGCGTGCGCCCGCGCGCCCTCCTGCTCTCAACTACGGTAACAGGAAAGAGAAGGATGTACCCAAGTCCCCCACGTTGCTGGAACCATCCCTCCCACAAGGAGGCCAACACGGGCTGTGGGACTCCCTCTGGGAACGGCCTGAGATGCGGCAGCAAGGGCCAGACAGGGGGCTGGACAGAGGGCCACCCCCCCAGACCTCCGACTCGGGCCAATCCAGTTTAACACCGGCCTTGGCACCTCTGCCCGAGGAGGGTGAGTGCTGGTGAGTAAACTCGGGATTCAGGGAAGGGGCGGCATCTCTGAGGACCGCTCACCATTCATGGAACCATTACAAAAATCCACGTCTTTTTATACAATGTGCTAAATGTGTTTAGCTTTCTCCAGAACACCATCTAACAATGCTTGGATCATATTTAGGGGCAAACCCACAGCCACCTGGTATCTTCGCGAATTAACCAAGATCCCTTTTCCTACAGAGCCACCCTCGCCAGGGTCCAGGCCAGGACAACGGGTGATCAAGGGCAGCGTGAGTTTGCCGGGTTCCAGCACCCGTCAGTCGCATCGAGGCCACATGCAGGCATCCCCCCAGGAGAGGCAGCCACAATGTTGCCAAAGGCTCTTTATTTCAAAACTAGATTTGAATTATCAACGTTTCAAGAAACGTGCCACTAAATAATAAAACTTAGGGAATTCCCTGGCGGTCCAGTGGTCGACTTGGCGCTTTCACTGCCATGGCCCGGGTTCAATCCCTGGTCGGGGAACTAAGATCCCGCGAGCTGCGGCCAAAAAAACCCAATAATAATAATAAATAAAACTTAAAACCCAAGCTTCATTTCTCAGAAAAATCACGTGACTTAATAGATTAATGGGTGCAAATATTTTTAAGTCCCTTACATGCTGCTGAAGTGGCTCCTTGCTCATGGTTTCAGTCACTGGCGTCTGGGGCTGCTTTCACACGGCAACAGTAATGGCAGAGTCAGGGCCCGGCTGTCATGACAGAGACTGCACGGCCCCTAAAGCCTGAAATACCTACTCGCTGCCTCAGCCCTGTTCCAGCTGCTCAGACCAACGGCCCTGGGGCTGAGGGCCTCAGGGCCTCCCATTGTGGGCTGGACGCTGCCCCCGCGCCCCCAGCAGAGGGGGCAGCAGAGTCCCCAGCAGAGCCTTCCTCTCTGCTCGAGAAGCTCAGTTGTGTCCAGTGCAGAGACAGCTCCAGGCAGGGAGCTCGGGCCAGTGAGGCCGACAGCCCTTGCCTCCGTCCCTGGGTCACCAGTGAGGCCGACAGCCCTTGCCTCCATCCCTGGGTCACCAGCAAAGGAGGGCAGTGGCCTCCTTTGTGGGCTTGTCCCTGGGAATCTGGCTGAGCCCGCAGAGCCAGGCGTGGAGCTCCTGAGACACGCGGGGTGGCCTCGCAGCCCCGTAATGAACACTGGTGGATGGTGCGGCCTCAGACGTGGAGCCCAAGGACCCTGGTGGGAACTGTGCCTGGTGACAAACGGCGACACGCCTGCCTCCCCACGTGTGAATGGCGGGGCTGGTTAAGAGTTGTCGGGGGTCTTGGGGTCGGCTCCCTCCTCGGCCTCCTGGTGTCTGAAAAGCCGCTTGGCGCTCGGGGAGAGCGGGTGGGGACGGGGCTGGAGCGGGTACCGCCCCCCAGCCGCCAAGTTCCCCTCCTCCTTGAGGAGAAGCCTTTGCCCACAGAGTTTGGGGAGGCTGCGGCAGGAGGAGTGCCAGGCTCTGCACCCTGCCATCAGAGAAATGGGTTTTCCTCGGAGAACCTGCAGGGAGGTAGCGGCCAGGCCCCTCCGGCGGCCTTGCCGGGTGGGTGGGTTTCGTCCTGGGCCCATGAGTCAATTTGTCACGAAGGGAAGCAGTTCTCTGATGTCCTGAAGGGTGGCCCATCCCGTCTGCCTGAGACCCTCTCTGGCAGAACCAAGCTGGTGCCCAGATGCACAGGAAGAGAAGCCACCGGCCACAAGCTGGCTGGTCGTCCGTTTTTTAAATAAACACGGGAGGGTGGGCAGTGGGGGCCTCGCGTCACGGGGGCTGGACGCTCCCATTTCTCCTTAAATAAACACAGGAGGGTGGGCAATGGGGGCCTCGCGTCACGGGGCTGGACGTTCCCATTTCTCCAGGCTTCACCCAGTCCTTCTGGGTGGTTCACCGCAAAGTCTCACGTCCACACCCGTCGGCCAGGCCCATCACTCCCGCACCCCAGCCCTCTGCCAGCACTCGGCGACGCCCGACCTCCCCACAGCATCCGACGTCCCGAGAACCCCGTCCCAACGCTGCCAAGGCTCCTAGGGCCCTTCTCATTCCCGACAGACATGCCGCATCCCTTCTTTACACCCAACATGGCACCCAGGGCTCCCCCGCTGACTCTTCCCCAGTCATCCATTACAGTAAACGATAAACCACTGTGTCGTGTGCACCTCCCGTGTGCCAGGTGCGGGCACAACCTTCAGGGCAGAGTGCTGTGCCCGGTGGGAGGTGGCACACACGGGGCTGTGAGGGGCACGGAGGAGGCGCACCACGTGGGGGGGGGGCAGAGCGCTCAGCGCGTGCGGGGGTCCCCAGGTCAGCGGGCGCTCGGCTGCTGTACTGGACTCCGTGGTGTCCCCCCAGACTCAGGTCCACCCAGAACCTCAGGTGGAAAAGTATCTTTTGTAGGTGCAGTTAGTTAAGTTAAAATGAGGTCAGACTGGGTCCTAATCATGACGGGCATCCTTGGGGAGCAGAGACAGAGAGCAGGCGGCAGAGGCTAGAGGGCTGAGCTCCCAGCCCAGGAGCTCCGAGGACCGCCAGCAACCCCAGAAGCTACACAGGCAAGAAGGACCCTCCTAGAGCAGCGGGAGGGCGAGCGGCCCCGCCCCACCTTGGTTTGCACTCCAGACGGCGAGAGAACGAACGGCGAAGCATCCAGTTTGTGGCGCTTTCTGCCGGCAGCCCCCGGGCACGTGGTCGCCGGCCATGGGGGCACCTGCAGGTGCCTCCCCGCCCACCTGCCAACGGGACGGCTACACAGCCTCGCGAACCCCATGGTTTCCACAGGACACAGGGCAGCACGAGGAGAAACACCAGATGCTCGGCTAAAGCGCCTTCGGAGCGGGCCGGACAGCGGGGCCCGCGGGCCGGGGGCTGGAGGGCTGTCTCGGGCTCTGGGCTTCGCAGGACACCCCCGGGACCAACAGGGGACACTGTGGGGTAACACACGCATCCCGGTAACGGGACAAATCTGCGTCCCTTCTGAATGCACGCAGGCAGGCAGGACCATGGAGCCACAGCGCCTGGACAGGGGATCCCGTAACAGGGGCACACAGGCCGAGTTTATCAGAAAAGACCCGAGCTGGCACCTTCCCGGGCTCAGGGAGCCTCGTAAAGGGCTCGTTGTCATCCAGGGACAGTGGCTGTGAAAGTGGCTCGAAGGCCTCGCCTGTGCGCAGGGCAGAGCCCGGCACCTCCTCTGGCGGGGGGGAGTGGGGGCATCTCGGCGGCCTCGACAGCAACTCACCCTGTTAAAGCGCTTGGCTTGGAAGAGGTGGCCGTTGGCGCGGTACAGCTTCCGCCATCTTCTGGCTCCACGGCGGTAGATGGATTCTGGAAAGAACAGCAGAAAGGGGTAAAGAAACGGCCTAGTGGCCCACGAGCCGAGCTCTGCCACATGCGGTGCGGTGGGGACAGGCCACCCGCCGAGCTGACATGCCTGCGTCCCCACAGCCACTCCTCACGCGATACCGGGGTCGACCTCCCCTCGATGCCCCTGGATGTGCCGCGAGAGCTGCCCTCCGCGGAGGGTCAGGCTGTGAAGACATCGGGGCCCGTGTGGCCTCCCACGTGTTTCCTTTCCACCCCCTTCCCTCCGGGCGTGAAAACCAGGCCCCTCTCCACACAGGGACAGGCTCCGACGGGCCGAGGGCCCCCTGGACGTGCACGCCCAACCGTCCTCAGAGGGACCCTGGCCGCCGGGGAGTCCACGGTCAGCCAGAGACGGGCGTCCGTCCAGCCAGCACCATCCTGCCCCCTCCGTCCCGGGCTCCCATTTGAAGAGCAAATCTAGGGACAGAAGTAAAGCCAAACCAACCGGACACTAATGTTGAATTGAAAGTTACCCAAACCGTCGCTTTCACAACCTGCATTCGATAATTCAAACTCCTGAGGAAGGAGGCTGCTCGTTAAAAACGCGGAGCTAAACGTATAACCAGAACCGTTGGTTTTATTCTTCCTCAAAAATGTTTCCAACTTCGCTCCTTCAAAACACTTTGAAAGTATGTGAAAACAAAATACTCAGGATACAACGGGAAGCTTTGTGCTTTTACAAAGCTCTGTAGTGAAGGCGACTTTCATGAGAAGTCAGGGAAGTGCCAGGAATATACTGACGTGGAAACTGTAACAGAATGTTTTTAAAACAAGCAAATTACAGCTCTGGCTGGAACCTGCCGAAACCAGGTCACAGTGACTGCAAAACCGGCTTCTCTCCCGTTAAATGGGAGACGAAGTGGGAAACCGAGAAGCCGACACCCAGACAGAACAGGGCCAGCCAGAGGTAGCGTCCTCACCCCCCAGCCCATCTGCCCTGGGCTCCGAGGGGTCCCTGGTGACGCCCCAGGACCCCTGCCCGGATGACAGGGTGCGGCCCTCCTGGCCTGATTTGGGGGAAGCCTGGCCCCCGGCAGGTTCCCGCTAACGTCCCCACGTGTGGCGTACACACCCCCCGGCTGTCCCAGCAGACGGAGGCATAAGGCACCGAGTGACACAGACACAGAGGGAGCTGGGCTCTCAGCCGGGGACGCGGTGGCATGAGACTCCGGCTCTTTCCTGCGCTCACACACGTGCCGTGTGAAAGCCTGAAAATGCAGCCCACCGGATACCCTTCAAATTTGAACAAAGCCACCCGAAATAAGAGACTCAAGAATGTCCTAGCAGAGGCCAAGGGGTACTAGGGAGCCCCCAGCAGGCCGGAAAGCTCAGCGAGGGGACAGGATGGAGCCCTGCTGACCCCTGGGCACGGAGCAGGACTGAAGGAAGGCGGGCGATGTCCTGCCGTCCACAGAGAGAAGCCTGGACCCCTGCTGCTACGTGCCCTCCCAGATCACACGTGGAAGCCCTACCCCCCAGCCCCCATGTGACTGTATTTGGAGGTGGGGCCCCTAAGGAAGCAATGGAGGTTAGTGGTCATAGCGTAGGGCCCCTGACGGGATTAGCACCCTCACAAGAAGAGGAGACACCCGAGCTCGGTCTCCAGGGCGGGAGGACACCGGGGAGGTGGCGAGTGAGCCAAGTGTCCTCACCAGGCACCGACCCTGTTGGCACCTGGGCCTCAGCCATCCAGCCTCCAGACCCTGGGAAGTGAGCTCCTGTGGTCTCCGCCCCCATCCAGGGTATTGTGAGGGCAGCCCACGCAGACTGGACGCCTGCCTCACTCCACACGCAAGCCGTGGCCTCAAAAGATAAGGACTGACCACGAGAGGCAAAGGGACAAATTTTAGAAGGAAATGTGGACAACCTTAACAGTCCAAGGGGGAGAAAAATTCTGAAAACCCAAAAGCACCAGCCCAAAGAGGAGAGGAACACACCTGAGTACCGCGAGGGGAGGACGCATGTCCATCCAGAGGCCGCCCGAGAGGCAGACAAACCCGTCTCCATTATCAGCCACACGCAGGAGACAGGTTCACGATTCGGGACGCGGGAGGCACTTCCACAGATCAGCGAGGAAAAAGCAACGGAAGCGTCAGCGAAAGACAAGCCTCCGCAACGTCAGATACCGTCAAGAGCAATGGGAAGTTGCCTGTCCTCCGAGACAGGGGCTAAACCGGGGCCAAAACTGATTGTCGAGAGGACGCGTGCTTCCCCGGGACCCAGCAATTGCACTGCTCCGAGACCAAGGCGCGAGGGGCCTCACACGTGGGCTCGCAGCCGGCAAAGGGTGTTTGCGGACGCCCAGGCCCATCGGCAAGAGGACAAGTGACCTGCGGGCGTGACTGCTCAGGGGGACCCGTCGGCCGTAACCTGACTTGAGCTATGCTCAGCAGCACAGACGCATCTTCCAAAATCAAAGCAAATAAAAAATCAGTATGAAGTGACGTACTGACGCCCATCAAGCGGGCTCTGTGAAATGATGCCCTTGTTACCAAACTAAAAAAGAAGCAAAACGGACAATGTGTTGTTTCAGGATGCGCAGGTATGAGATGAAATCCTTCTGGTCAGTGGAAGACCAGAAGCAGTGGGTCAGCGCTGGGCGGGTCGGCTGCTAAGGGCACGTGTGTCCACTCCGTTGTATGTTTTATAACACACGTGAGTCCCGTGCCCTGGAAGTGCCTCAAGTGCTGCAGTAAACAATATACAATCAGAATTGTAAAAACACAGAGGGAGGGGCCAGAGGCAGCAACAATGACACGGTTATAAACTAGTTTCAGATTTTAATAGTAACACAGAGCTCTGAGTCTGCACAGAAAGGCCCCGGCCGCTGCATGCGATCCTGCTGCAGGGGCCCACATCCACTCCCCCACCGGCTCGCACCCTGACCAGCGGGGAGCAGCGCCTGTGGACGTGCGCTTCACACCCACGGCAGAACACCGACCAGCAGGGCTGCCTCAGAGAGCCACGGCACTGACGTGACACTGCTCCCAGGCCACAGAAGTTGCAGACGTGCAAGTTAAGGGAGGGGAACCAGGGAGTAAAGTGGTGAGCAGGCAGGAGGGGGCCACATCCTCCAGGCCCCTCCCGACGACCAGCCCTCCTGGGGGAAGGGTCAGTGCATGTCCTGTGCACACAGGACCGCCGTGCAATGTTGGGCAGAGGTGTGACCGTGCTGTTGTCTTTAACAAGAGACTGAGCATGGTTTCAGGAGGTGCCTCTTGGCAAGGAGGGGAATGTGGTGGTTAATTTCATGTGTCAGCTGCCTTGGGCCACGGTGCCCAGATCTGTGGTCAAACATTATTCTGGACGTTTCTGTGAGGGTGTTTCTGGATGAAATGAACGTTTAAACCAATGGTCTCTGAGTGAAGCAGACTGCCTTCCGTAATGAGGGTGGGCCTCGTCCGATCAGGCGAAGGCCTGAAGAGACCCCCAAGGCTGACGTCCCCCAGCGAGAGGAAGTCCTGCAGCAGATGGACTGCGGACCTGAACTTCGGCAGTGGCTCTTCCTGCATCCAGCCTGCAGCCTCCGTGACCATGTGAACGAATCCCTCACAGTGAATACTCTCTCTACACACACGGCCTGTTTATTCTCGTCTGGAGACCTGACTCACATGAACCCTCAGGTGATACTTTCCATTACTCCCCACCCCAGGCAGAGACAGGAAGTTGCCGTCAGAGACCCTGGCAGTGCACAGCCCGGCTCCACACCCTGGCATCACTTCCGGCAGAGGCAGGGGAGCCCCTGTGGTGTCCAATCCACACCCACGTTGCCACCTGGAAAGCAGTGCCCAGGTGACTTACAAGGAACCACAAGGGACAGCAGGGCATCCTGCATTGAAAAAAATATATACAGTTTTTGTTCTGAAGTAATTTCAGACGTACAGAAAGTTGCAAAGACAGTTCAGAGAGCTCCTGTGTAACCTGCCGGCAGTTTCCCCTCGGTTAGCATTGCTCCGACACGGTGTGAAAAAGAAAAGGACACACGTGCTCAGGGAACACGCATGTGCAGAGCGCTTCCCGGGGCGGGCGCTCTGGGGATGACCCGCCCCACCGCCCGCTGCACCCACCACGGGCCCTGAGTGTCCACCTTCCCATTCGGCCGATCTCAGTGGTAAATGGTCCTGAAGCCCAGCCGGGTGGGCTGGCAAGGCCTCCATGGGAAGCGGGCCCTGGGGGGTGGCTCCGGCTGGCCCCGCAGCTGCTCCACCCGGTATCCTGGTGGGTCAGGAGGCTCCAACTCGGTCACCATGTCAAGGCCGACTTCGGAGTCAGAGTGGCTCGAAGTCAGAGCCTGCTGGGCACCTTGAGGTGTCCGGTCGCCTCCACGGTGCCCGTGCTCTGGACGGACACAGAGCGGGGACGACAGTGGGTCCTCAGGGCCCCGTCTGCTCAGCCGCTCCTATACCTTCTCTCGGCCTGAACGACACCCTCAAAGAAGCTCTCTGCTTGTCTTTGGAATTCTATAATTAGGACGGCTGCAGGGAACTTTAATGAGCTCAGTTTCTATGGCAATGGAGCATCTTGAGGGCTCTGACAAGGCGAAGAAAATACACTTTAAAAAGGGAGCTTAGAGCAACAGACCTTGAAACAAACCAGGCAGCCCCCAGATTTTGGGGGGAACATGGGGTGCTCCGAATTTTCAGGGCAGATCACGATGCTACTGGAAGCCTCTCTGACTGTTTGCTGGACACGGACCCACCGCCCAGATGACCAGCCCAGCACAACCCCCGGACAGCCCTAGAGCACCTCGAAACTGTGGCGGGAGTGCTCCGGCGACGGGGCATGTGGGTCAGCCGAAAGCCTTCCTGGTGGTTCCGGGTTGGTGACCAGCCCGAGGCAAGGCCAGGGAGCTGGTGAGGGGCCCTCGTCCCTCAGGCTGGGGGTGGGGTCCTCAGCAGAGCGTGCGCTGCTGGCCCCAGGCCCAGCTCCCTCCGGGCGAGTGGCGTCCCCTGGGGTCCATG